AGTAGCAGACTAGCCTAGTATAAGTGCAACAAGCTGTGCAACTGTTTCCAAACGACAGACGCATATGTTCAAATCTTTCCGCTGGTAACATTTCACAGTGGCGCACCGTCACACCAATCAATCCATCCAATCAATAATTTAATCAAGCACCACAGTGACTTTTCAGGGAAGCCCGTAAAGCAGCAGGGTAAGTCAGGTACAGTTAAGGTCAATTCAGACGGTGAGCATTTTTAGACACATTTTTCACACAACAGATGGAATAAAATCTATTCCTGACACATGCATGGGAGGCTGCGTATCACCTGTTGATGCTTCAGGTCTAATTTTTCTGGTGCATTGAGTGCAGCATAAGCGCCACAGACTGTCATCCAAGTAGTCAGTTATTTTCTATTGCTAACTTTTTTTTTTTTTTTTTACTGGTTTCTGTTCTGGTTATGTGCATAGGTCCTACATAAAAACTATTGCTGTCCAGCACATCTCTGCTGTCGGTCAGCCTGGTGAAGACCATTTGTTCATCTGCTGTCCTTCAGGAGCTGATGAGTGACAGCTGTTCTGACTCTGAACATCACGCTTTCATTCAGACTGTGTTTATGTTTTTGAGTGAATCACTGACCAGCGAACTGTTGAGGACTTAGTTTTGCATTTAGAATATAACTGTCATAAAAAAATAACTAGCCTATATTGATCGATATAATTATTAAGTGTTTGTTCACCTCCATAAAGGGACCAGGGACACGCACCCAAATGCCAAGCTGCACCCCCACCCCCTACTCAAGGGACACTGTTGCCACTCCAGACCTCTTGATCCACAGGTAACACTGTGTCCATCACTGTGCCCTGCTCCTCCTTTTAGCAACACAGCTGTCTTCCACCTAGCAAGAACAACAGTTCCCATAATGCTCAAGGGACTGTAAACAGGAAAAAGCAGTGTTGCTTAGTATTTGGCAATTAGCACCACTAAAGGTATGCCAATAGCTATTGGGAGTTCCTTTTTGCAGTGTTCCCACTGATGTACAAACAGGTACCACTGGATTACTGTGATACTGAAGAGAATATATAATATGCGGGGCTGCAACTAAAGACTATTTTAATAGTTGAATGATCTGTATAAAAAACACAGAAATCTATTTTCTGCATTGTAAAAACAAAAATGCATTCATTTAAACATTTTTTTTTGCTATTTCTATGCAGTGCACTATTTTTATTTCAAGACTACAGATTTTATAAAGTACACAATAGGTCCTTAGTGTTAACACAAACACTAAAATGTTTATGATTTAAAATAATTTATATTTTCCAAAAACATACCATGCTAATGTAAAGAGCCAGAGGGCACGATTACTACATTCACTCTTAGACAATGTATTCTGCATCATTAACTTGCAAGTGTCATCAATGCTCCTGAACACACCTTTATAATTTTGTTTTGCTTATTGCATTAAATATAATGCTTCACTGTTCACATGTTTTATATTTGCATGAATGCAACACAAATGCATTTAGCACCAGTTATCAGTCTACACAACCCACCGCTGTGTTCCTAAATATATAATTAGCATAACATACCTAAAGTAACCATGTATATTTTCATATTCTTTTACATTATTAGCTAAAATTAATGATATACTTAGCTCCAGGAGCCCCTTCTTCTCTAACTTTGTCTTTTCTTTATGTGCTAATGCATTAGCGTCATGCTCTCCTGCCACAGCAGATATGGTTTGCATAGTTGGTGCTGGACAGTCTTCTTTGTGATTATAAAATAAACTTTACATGACTGTTCATCCACTTTTCTCTGCTGTAACCATGCTCTATACTATTCACCGTTTTTCAAATGTTTTGATATGCCTCAATGACGTAGTCACCCAGTCACTGACACAGCTGTCACACACAGCTATGTGAGTAGATCCAATTAATCGATAATTTAATTCATTGCCAGCTGTTTTTTCAATCCATTTTATTAATTAGTTGTTGCAGCCCTAATACTATGTACCACGTGTTTGTGTTCAGATTTGAAGGGGTTATGGCTTAGAGACTAGGTACAATTTTGATGTAAACTGTTTTGTTTTATTTCCCTAAATGCTAAAAACCCTACATTCATATATACTGGATGTGTTACCATGTTTCCACCGATTATTTTTGATTACCACAGTCACTAGTGCAGACTGGAATATTAAATAGCATACGGATTTATTAGTAGTTTAGGTTTTGAATTTATGCTAAAATCACATATAACTGAAACACGGTGCACCTCAACCAAACCAACAGTGTTCTTATGATTTTGTAGCAACAGTTTGTTTCTTTCCTGATGGCCCCATGCACAAAGCCAGGTTAATAGGAAATGGCTTTCCCAGATTGCTGTGGAAAGACTTGACTGTCTTGACCTCAATCCTGCACATTTGGGATGAACTGTAATGCTGACTGGGAACCAGGTAACATCAGAGTTGGACCTCACTAATGCTATCAGTGACTTAATGGCAACAAATATCTACAACCATGTTCTGAAATCATTAGCAGAACTTGGAGTAGCAGTACATTATTGCAGATAGTTTGTAAATGATTTGTTCAATAATCACACATGGGTATATTTGGTTTGTTTGGGTGTTTACAGTTTTTTTTTTTTTTTTGGTTGTTAACTAACTCTTTGTCCATATAGTGTGATTTAACTACTTTTGATTGAGGTTTGAACACAAAAGTAATTTGGTAGACTTTTAATGTGAAAAATCAGATAAAGTTTATCTCTGTGGGCTAATTAGGAGGATAAACAGATAAGAAACCACTACAGCGATGCATTTTAGTAGAACAGGAAGTGGGAACTGTGACACCATCATCATCGCCCACATAAAAACATATAATTATATTAATGCTTTACAGCATCTACTTTTAATGAAATCTGATTGCTCTAATCCAGTTACATGTCATAAAAATAATCATGGGTAAACAATCAATCCATTTTATGCAAACTCCTTACTTCTGAATTAAACACTGATCTATGATGGCTGCTCTGGGAGAGATCACTGAATTTGGTCGCTGCCAACAGGGGCTTTTCAAACACTCCCTCTTGACCACTGATTTGATGTGTGACTTGACACTGACTGCTAGCTGTTAATAGTTAGCTTCTATGGTAATTAAATTGGCAGCAGGCCCAAAGGCAGTGACAGTAGATCATAAATTACAATGGCGTGGATGGCCAGCGAATGTGCATGAGAACCGAGTGGGGGATATAAAGGGAGGATATAGATGTTTTACTGCAGGGCTCTGCAGTAAAACATAAATATAATATATAAAATATAAAATATTTCAGTGTGTGGCAGTTAAACTGTGTGATCAGCTTATACTATGAGAATAACGGCCGCTCTGCTGTATCACTTTAATATGTCCAGTGCTTAGTGGGTTTAGATAGTCATGCTTGACATTAACAAAACGACAACAAAATGTAAACTATTATTTGCAGCAGCATACGTTTTGTATCTGTAAAGGTAGGGACTTGGGGAACCCAAACAGTTTCATGTTTTGATTTGCATTTGTCTGTATGAAAATGGAATTAAATAGCTGGTTGAACTGGGAAAACTGAAGCCTTTTGTCAAAGCAGTCTTCCCTATATCACTATATGATGCTCCAATTAAGGTATTTTTGTCGGGTCCTTCCATGAAAAGTCCAACAAGGTCTCCACTGAAATCTTGACCACACTTTGCGAACCAGTGGTTGAGTAAACTCTCAATGGGCAGAGTCAGACTGGGCACATGACTGTGACAGAGACACACACACACACACACACACACACACACACACACACACACACAGTCCCCTCCCCTCAGGAGGTAATTGGAGCAGACAGCAGTTGGCCAACCTAGCCTGACTGACAGACAACAACAGTCCAAAGTGACCAAACCAAATCCACATTGAGGACTTCCACTGAGCTGCGCTAGAATAAAAAGCAAGATTTAACTGACAGAACCTTTATTTATTTATTTATTTATTTTTGCTTTGGAGTTTGCCATGAAAGGCCCGGAACTGTTCCTACTGGCATGTTGGTTATGCAGCTTGTGCATGTTGGGAGGTAAGCTGACACATTATACCCATGTACAGACAGTACGCTAATATTACAGTGCAGGTAGTATGCCACACAGAATAACAAAACAAAAACCAAAACATATCAGATTAACCCTGGAAGTTGTCAAAGAACTATCACAGGAATATTACTGTCTCTCTGGGACACAGTATACATTTTTTGTGTGAATATTAACATTGTACAGTAGTGAAGTTTTAGTTGGAGAGGTTTTAGACTGAAAAAAAAAATAGAATAGATAGAAGATGTTATCTTAATTGAGAAAAAGACTCAAAGCTGCCATTAACTAACCTACAGTAAATTTCATAGGAAACACTAAAGCCATAATCAGCCATTGTTAGTTACAGGGCGCCCATTTCTACAAGGAAAACAGTAGCTTTCTGTCTTCAGACACTTCACTACATAATTAACCATTGGTTTCTGGACATGAACAGCGCGCTCAGAGAAAGATGTAGTTCATTTTGAACTTTACTTCTTTATGCTTATCACTCAGCAAGTGCACTCGCATGTTTAGTGAAGGTATCTTAAATTTACATGCCTTTTCAGATAGGACTCATCTTCTGTCCATAATCAAAGTGACATCTTTCACATGCTCCACACCTCGACATCTTACCAAATCTGATCTCACTGGACTTGTACTTCAGTCTGACATATTTATCAAGTTATCTCTGCAGGCCAGGGAAAAGAAAATGCTAAACACTAGCCTTCTATAACCACTTCCCATCCTTACCGATCAGCCATGCATCTCTGCGCCTGGCTAATGGGAGTGCCTTGCTGGGTGATTGTTGCCATTTATTCCTGTCAGGTCAAATCCTGCTGGGGCCATAGCTATGCCAAGCATGATGAATGCTGCTTCACCAGAGCAGCTGATTATAAATGCTTCTAACCTTCCAACGCTGAGAAGGAAATTGGTGCAAATAAACAGGAGGTACACATGAAAATGCTGTGGAATTCAGGTACTAGGTTAAAAAGAGCACAATTTTACAGGCCTACCATGAGACATTTTTAGCACTGCTAATGGGCAGTAAGACAGCTTGCACGTTCCTCAGATTTAGAGGAAATATTGTAGCTTCGGACAAAGTGTACAAGGTGTGTACAATATTTATTAATATGAACAAGCATTTATTTAAACTAGGTATCTTCATTAAATTGATTTCCATGGCACTTCCAAAAGGTATCACTGTCATTAAGGCTAGTTAATAAAGTTGTGGTTCAAAGTTCACCAAAGTTGAATTCAATGCAAAACACATACGTATTTATGTTTCCCCCATGAATTAATCTACAAATTGAAGCAGTTTAAATGGAATTAAGTGAGTTTGCTTTGAAATGCAACCAGGCCTTTTTTGATTCATAAAGAAGGGAGATAGTTAAGTTTTATAGCTGAAAACATAAACAACCATAAAAATGGACATTTACTGTAAATTGGTTCACAACAGTTGTCAGCATATGATGCATGTGATTATAGTTTTATGAAAATATATATTTAGCTGCCACTAAGGCTTCTGTAGCGAAAAGTGAATGAATGACACGGTGGCAGTTTCTTCTGGCTGATGTTGAACCCATAATCTGTCATTCAGGTGCCGATGAGTCAGAGCAGGTTCTGTTGGACAAGCTGTTTGCCAAATACAACCTTAAGGTCCGGCCAGCACCCAGCCATACCGAGAGGGTGGTGGTTCGTGTGGGTATGATCCTCTCCTCATTCATTGGACTGGTGAGGCACAAGACCTGACACTCAGTACAAAAACATATGTACATGATTTTACACAAACACATGCAAATTAACAATTGTAAAATTCTGTAAAAATAGTAAAAAAGGGGGACCCTTTCCAATGCCTTCCAACAGATGCTGCGGAGTAGGACACACCTTTTCCTAATGTTAACTCAGACAAACCATGTTTCACATGATGTTCAAATCAAGGGTCTGCCCTCTGTCTGCATACGCTGGTGGTTTCCAGGCACTGTGGCATATGCTTTGCAGACTGTCTGCACGGACACAGACTTTTTGGGCCTCATTTTGCAGACCCTAATTTTGATGTATGAACAGGAACCCATGCTCATCCCTCGTCCATGTCTGCATATACACAAGTATAGTATAGTATAGCACGGATATAGTCAAAGTATGTCTATCCCCTAACGACTACATAATGATAAAAGGCCAGTACAGCATCAAACCAGATCACTTTATTTTGTTCTTTCATTTCTCCTTGGCTCTCTTCTCTGTAGCAGCTGTACACACACAAACACACACAAGCCTGCACATAGTGTCACGTTTACATACACATCTACAGTGAGCATGCTCCTTACACTTCCAATCAAGGTCAGTCTTACTCGGGGGAGGAAGTCACATGGGGCTCTTAAGTTCCTGAGTGGAACAATCTTGAAAACTGACCCACTTGGATGCAAGTCCCTGTCTGCTCAGAACTAGCCAGCTGGATAAATAGTGTTATTATTAACATCCGGAGGTGAATTGAAACAGTTACAGAAAGTGATGGGTCTGTGATGAAATAGTTATCCGTGTCTCTAAGTGAGAGAGACCCCCCCCCCTTTTTTCCCTATTCCAGCTGTCTCCCTGACATTCCTCCCAGTGTTTTAAATAGCAGGCCTGGCTCAGAGAAGCTCTGCCTTCCTGCTGGACAGACAATCACATGCTCTCAAACACATTCAAAGACAGACATGCACACTATAGACATTGACACACACACACACACTTTTACTAAACCCAGTACCTGACTCTGTCCTGGAAGTTGTTGTTGTGTTCATTGCTGCCTGCCAGCCGGTATCTCTCATAACTACACTTTGTAGAGGCATACCTCTAACAAATGGTATAATTTTGTGCCATAACTCTCCCAGTGTGTGTGTGTGTGTGTGTGTGTGTGTGAGAGAGAAGTTCGACCTGTGTGTTGCAGTCACCACAACATTGGAAGATGTCATACTGTACTTTTAGAGTACATAATGTACAGTATAATTTTTATAACGACACTTGTAGTTTCTACTGAGCCTGCTGTAAGGACAGCTATGCTGCTGTTATTTATGATTTTGAAAAGAAGCAACACTAACCCCGCCTTGTTTTTTTATCCTTAGAATATGAAAAAAGAAGAAATGACCACAGTTGTGGTCATGAACATGGTAAGCCCATTTACGTGGTACTGCTCGCCAAACCTTGCAGCATGTTTTACCACATACTTGTTGCACTGGGACTGGGTAAAGTCTTCTCAACTCACAATAAATGGTCTATGATCAGTTCTTTGCAAGAAGACAAGAGCTTGTTGCAGCACTAAAAAAAAAAGTTGCACACATGGGAACCCACTATACACAATCTTCATTAACAAATAATTTCCCACTATTCCATATCAATTTAGTCAACTCATCTATGACTCTAGCTCCAGTGGAAATAGGTTTATAAGCCTTGTAATGCTCAGTGCCAATACACAACACACCTAACCAATTGAAAACATTTGGGGTAGTCTTAATAATACAAAGTTAAGGCAAAATGACAATTCATGTAAATGGTGATTTGTTGTGCGCGTCACGGGCAGCGTGTAAAGCTGCCGATAATGTCGAGGGTGAACTCAATTATAAGACCAGACAAGTAAAAGCAGAACATTGTCTCTTTAATAAGAGCACTGGTCACAAACTGTACACAATGCAGGAGTCTGATTCAACATGTATCACTCTCAGGTCAATAATCCAATCCGGGGTCTGAACCAGCAAACTCACACATCCAAGGTATCCACAAGAAGAACGGTCAGTAGAGGAAGTCCTTAAGTGGATGCACAGAATACAAACAGAATCAGAAGGGTTAGGCAGTAATCGGTGGTCACAAGGCAATCCGGGGTCAGAGCTGGAATAAGAGGTACAAGAAAAAATGCTGGAAATTCTGAACATTAGTTAGAACAATCTGGCAGCTTTCTGGTGGGAGGAAGCTGCCTATACAGGGGTGTTGACAGGTGCAAATAATTACCACTGATTGGTGTAAATAGCCCGTAGCTGAAATGACACCTTAACAGGAAGTGGCATCAGAATAAAAGCATGTTACCGGAAGCAGAAGAAAAAAAATTATGACAATGTCAGGCCAAATGCACAGACAAAAGTACTTATGCTGACTACAGCAGTGGAAAAACAAAAAAAAAAAAAGTGAAGAAATGCTAGACTGATTACATTTCTAAGTGCAAAGCTGTAATCCCACATTTCTGCACACATACTGTAAATGCCCATGCTTTTTTTTTTCACACAGGAATGGACAGATCAACGGTTGTCATGGAAGCCAAAGGAGCATGATGGAATTACGGTGCTGCGTATCCCCTCTGCGAAGGTTTGGCTGCCGGACATTGTCCTTATCAATAAGTAAGCACAAGTACTGCAATCAAATGAACATTTATTTAAGTCAGAGTGGCTATAGATCCACCCTATTTGGGGGGGATTGTACAACTGCTTGTTAGCTTTAATTCTCAGCTGACAGTTCCATAATCACCTTTGGGCTTGCTAATTACACCATCATTCGTCTTATGTAACAATTTACTCTTTTGGTTGTGATAAGAGGTGATGAAGAAATTTTCAAGTGATTATGGCTAAGTCTGCTGGAGACAATACACTGCTGTTCTGGACAGCATGTAGTTATCCAGCAGCTAGCATGAGTGGAATATAGCAGCTTGCACCAGGCACATTTCCTCTGCACTAACTTGATGTTGGGTGTTTGCTGTCTGACCTACTTTTATCTCTGAAGTAAAAAACAAAAAAGTCACCTGTACAGTATATATGATATCTGATTAACCCTAAGACAGGAAACTCTGATTGAGGAACAGCTGAACAGAGTTAGTTCTTGAGGTGATTCATTCAGAGTTACATACTTGTGCGTAATGAGCTCCAATACTACAATTCACCATGGCAATGGGGAACTAAAATGCTGAGCTGTCATTTTAATCCAGAGAAGCGCAAATAATACACAATTTTTAAAACACGCACACATATCAGCAGCAGATAAGATCAATGTGTTAACATCGTTACATTTTATTCAGTGTAGTCCACTCATTCATTTGTTTAGCACGGGGTTTTCAAATAATTCTGACCCAGGGACCAGTATTATGACTAAGACCATCTGAGGACCACTGTGGAATGGATAAAGTGGATGGGCACTATTTTAATCCTGAAATCCATCTTGGCTTTTCTAATTGTTAGATTATTCACAAACCATAAGTAATACCTACCAATGTTTCCATCCATCCAGCCAGCCATTATCTAGACCACTTATCCTGCAGATGGTTGCAGATGTTGTCCAGAAAGCACACTCAGAGTGACAATCAGCCATTCCCTTACCCTAACACTCAACCCTGTTCCATTGGGAAACAGGATAAGTGCTCATTCTAAAGCTCATAAGTGAATGTTGTTGAAAAATAAAATGTGAATGATTCAATCTTTGTGTCAGACCTAACTCCCTAACAAAAAAAAGAATAAGTCATTGTTTACAGTTATGTAATGTCTGTTGAGACAGAGTGAAAAGCTATTGAGTTTTAAATTTTTAAGTAGTAGCAATTCATATTTTAAAGTGAGAGTTTATTTAACATGTCTGGGCTCATGTTCTGTCCTTTCATGTTACATCAAAACAACCTTTTAGTTGCATGCTTTTCCCCGTCTCTCTTTCTTCCTCCCATTTATTATAATTTCCCTACTGTTCTCCATCTAATTAAGGCATTAATGCCCAAATATACCTTTATTAATCTTCTGAAGAACAGACTGTACTCAACCCTTTGCTTTTGAAAGTTGTTGAATGGATTTCTGAAAACCAACAGGCACAGGGACAGGCAGAGCTGTGCTACAACCAGAACATAAAAACAGTTGACCCTTGCTGTTCAGTACTCCATCTGATGGCAATGATAGCCATTACCTCCTTTATTGTTGCTTTACTGCAAAAGACAAGAAGGTTAAGTGAGAGGAAGTGAAATGACATGAAACAAAAGCATCAGGAGGGATTCAAACCTAGAATGGTGCTCAGACATTATATGTGCAAGTGAGTCAGCAGGATGCTATGTTAGCATGGCAATATCTGCAGTCCACTTACTCTACTGATATTACATATCATATTATATCACCATGGTGAGATTTTAGGAGATGATGTAGCAGGCTATGTTATGAGACAATATAAGACAAGACTATAAAAGATAGTATGCTATGTTACATGCAGTCTACGTGCAATGTGATTGGCAGGTGTAGGTGTGTGGTTCAAGGTTAGCATGTAGTTTTTCTAGTTTGTGTGGAGTGAGGCTGATGTCCCTCACTGAGAACTTAGTAGCATAGTCGATGCTACTGTATTGTCATACCATGTATAAACAGTAATGAACAAAACCATGAGTAAAAAACTGAAGATTTATTAGGAAAACTGAGTTTTTGATGAATAAATTGTGTGCATCTCCGTTTGCAGTAGCGACGGGGAGTTTAATGTGGCCCTGCAAGTCCATGTTCAGGTTTATAATAATGGAAGAGTAACCTGGACTCCCCCGGCACTGTATCGCAGCTCTTGCGGAGTTAAGGTGAACATCAACACACACACACACAGGCAAACCTAAACATAACTACACTTTTGTCACAGTCTACTCTTCCTCTACACATTCCCTTCATTTTCCACGAAGCTTGATCCACTTCTCTGACCCCTTTTTCTCTGTCTAGGTAGCATATTTCCCATTTGACTGGCAGAACTGCACTATGCAGTTCCGCTCTTACACTTATGACTCAACAGAGATCGACCTGCAGTATGCACGAGACTCAAGAGGCAAGGAGATACGGGAGATCCAACTCGACGAGGCTTTCAGTGGTGAGAATTTGGTGGGAAAACAAATTAGAGGATGAACAGACAGGTAGATGGATGGAGTAATATAGAGAATACAGAACTTTTTGAAATAATGGGGATCATTTGGTGACAGAACAATATTTACAATATAATATACAATATACGGTGAAGGTGGGGATGGTCATCAGGTTTTGGGAGACCGGGCCTGGGCAAATGAATTGAATCTGTTTTTTAATAGATGTGATTCTGCCCATTCCCTGGTCCCCACCCCACCAGTCCTCTCTACACACCTCTCTAGGCCAGTTGTCTCCTCCCACCAGCAGCTGTTTATACCTCAGCAATACATTGAGTCTCCTTCAACTGTCACTGATGGCTTTGAACAGCCCATAGCCCCGGATCAGTCACCGCCCACCCGTTCCCTCTGCCTCACTGTGGACCAGGTTAGGAGGGAGCTAAAGAAGATTAAGGCCAGGAAGGCCACAGGCCCTGACCATATAAGGATAATCACCTTTACTGGCCAAGTATGTTACACACAAGAAATTTGTTTCCAGTACAGAACTGATGGCAGCCATCTGTGGCACCAACTCAAATGATGGCTCTAATCATCGGGGGCAACGGGGGGCTTCAGTGTCTTGCCCAAGGATACTTCGACATGTGGACTAGCAGATCTGAACCTTCAACCTGGGAGACAACTGCTCCACCCACCGCACTATCGCCTCCCCATATTAGCTCCAGGCTCCTCAGGGAGTGTGCTGACCAGCTTACTGAAGTGTTTTTGTACATGTTTAACCTGAGTCTTAGTCTGGAGAGAGTCCCAGTTCTGTGGAAGACTGTGGTGGCCTCTATAGTCTTCTATGCGGTGGTGTGCTGGGCAGGAGGTACAAATGGACAGAGACAGGAAGAGGCTTAACAAGCTGATAAGAGAGCTGGCTCTGTCCTGGGCTGCCCTCTGGATTCCATCAAGGAAGTTGTGGATAGGAGGATGTTGGTAAAACTAACATCCATCATGCATAATCCCTCCCATCCCCTGCACCACATTGTGGAGGCTCTGAGGAGCTCTTTTAGCACAAGACTGTTACATCCCCAGTGCAGGAAGGAGCACCATCGTAGGTCATGTCTCCCCACAGCTGTTAGACTGTATAATACAGCATTGTAGTGATACATAAGGTGTAGTTATAAAGGACTGTGTAATAGTCAACTAAAGTGTTAGAATTGGTTATAGTTGATTTTTTTTTCAATAGATTTTTGTGGTGTGTATTTTTTGCTGTTGCTGCTGGGGAACAGGAATTTCCCCATTGTGGAAAGTTTTATCTTAGAATATTTTAAATACTATAAATGAACAGTTCAATAGATTACAATTTGTGATGAACTCAGATGTGTAAAATTCTATGAATGACAGAAGAAACTATGCCTGTTCTGTATTTACTGCTGTACTGACTGTAGTTGACAGCTAAATAACTAGTTATAAAGATGAAAGTGAAAAATAGAAAAGCAGCTTAATACAAAGTAAATTTAACAGCAGTGACCCTCAGCACCACTGGTGCATTTGAGGATGTCGGGTCTTCCTGCTGTCGTTTACAGTAAAGCTTGTTTTCAGTGATTCATACAGAAGGGTGAGAAAAACGCTTATTAATTGCAATATTTCTCAAACTAAATTTCAGTTAGACTATTTTCCCAAATCATTCAGCCCTACTGTGGATATATTTTCTCCTGTTTTCTTGAACGAGGTACTTTAATACTTGCTTTGCTTTATAACTAAGACATGCTCACTGAAGTGTCTTTTATTTGTTCTACTGTCTTTGCACTTTTGTTTGGGCACCCTTTGTGATATGCAAATTTACTGCTTGTGCTGCAAAGTAATGTTGCTGATCTTAATTGAGATGTTTTCTAAATGCTTAAAATGTGAATTTGTCCCCAGAGAGTGGAGAGTGGTACATCAGACACAAGCCGAGCAAAAAGAACGTAAATGACGAACAGTATGAGGACATGACCTTCTACCTGATCATCGAAAGGAAGCCTCTGTACTATGTCCTGAACATCATCATCCCTTGCATTCTCATCACTATCATCGCCATCTTTAACTTCTACCTGCCTCCTGATGCAGGTGCTCACACAATAATATATTCAAACACTTTAGTAATAGTAAAGTTGAACATCTCGCTAGTAATGCAAACCGTTGGCAACTTATCGCAACTTCGGCTGGAATTATAAAGCCATATCATTGCTCTCTAAAACTGCTAATGCCATTTAATTTCCTAATTGTGTTTGTCTGGTTTGTTTAAATTGGACAGTCACACATCTGTCCAATTACTGGCACAAAGGGATTCATTTACAGATTAAATAGATGTTTCCGGGAGCACTGCTGAACTGATGACTTCAAAATTAAAAATGGTAGAAATCAGCCCCCCAACTGCTGCGATTAATCAGCCTGACATTGTATTTTATTCACTTTGCTTACACAGTCTGAACATAATTTTTCTAATAGCCTGATTTACAATGATTCATTAGGCAGTCATTCTCTAATTGTATCCCTGTTTACAATTAGATCACCATTTTGTTTGATTTGTGAATACACTATCCAGAATATTGAAAGGAAAACCCTACATACTGATATAATTACAAGCCCTATAGTAAGTCAGAAGTAGAAGGGGGTATTCCACCAATTTATCACTGCACTTCAATACAGTAGGAAGACTTAAAAAAAAAAGATTAGTGATGATGGGACACACTTTAAACAGTCATGCAAGCAAAACCATGTTTTCATTAGAACCTCCCTGCAGAGTAAACACCCATGTTTCTCAAACTCCAAGTCTCTATTTTAAAATGTAATGTTTAATGCTAGGTTAAAAATGTGTGATCTCTGGACCCAAACAGAGAAATAATACACATTCATTTCTAATACACATTGGTTTCTCACTGCTTACCGAATCTAGCCAATCTGAGGAAAACACAGCTCAACACAGTGACCACTGAATACACTGAGGAGTCCTCGATCTAATGACCAATCAGCTTCACTTAGAACGGGAGATGAATTTTCTATTAGAGTCATTACTGGCAAATTACACAGGCCAGATGTTGCTAAAATAATAGCTGAAGGAGAAACACACCTTGTCCTGGTAAAACTCGATGGCTCAGAACACAAGCCTCAGAAAGGAGTATGATGTAACTGTCAAGTACTATTCTTTGTATCCCTACCAGGTGAGAAGATGGGCTTGTCCATCAACGTACTGCTGACCCTCACCGTGTTCCTGCTGCTACTGGCTGATAAGATCCCTGAGACGTCACTGGGCGTCCCCATCATTGTCAACTACATCATGTTCACCATGATCCTGGTCACATTCTCTGTCATCCTCGGTGTGGTCGTCCTCAACCTGCACCACCGATCCCCCAACACCCACCAGATGCCCTTGTGGGTACGCAAGGTGAGGTCCCTGCCTCCATAGGCTCAAGTGTATAACCTGGTTACAGACTTACATTATTGTTCAGCTTCAAGGATAAATACATGATGTTAAACTGATTCTACATTTCTTAAAAGATTATTTTTAAATGTGTTTCTGGGCTTTCTGGCTCAGTGAAAAACAGCAATATGTTCAATATCTGTGCATCAAAGGGGGAATAATGAGTGACGTCAAAGTGATGTCATTAGGAAAGCAACCATTCTCAGCATGTCCTCAGAGAGGGTTGGAGTGGGTGGATAGGGGAGATTGTGAGGCAGAATGAAAATAAAAAGTCCTGCATGTGACCTGCTCCTGCAGTATATGCAGATGCGTGTTAAAATCTGCAAATAGAAAAATCACTTTGCAATCCCTTAACATATCAATAAAGAAATAAGATTCAGAGGTTTGGGTGCACCCTTTCTGCATATGATACAGTATATGCTTACTATGTAAAGTGGCTTTGTTCACCCAGTTATATATTTCTTCATCGCTTTATCTAGGACTGGTCAGTAACTATACAGAACTAATTAACTTAACTGAACAACGTGTTATACTATTATCCTCCATCAGTGGCCATTGCCCTGACTGTACATCCTGCAAAGCTAATTACAAGTCTGAGCAGCAGCCCTGTACTTTGCTGCAAGCTCTGTGATGCGTTCAGGAAACATCCTTCTCAGAAAGGCTCATACAGTGTTTAGACAGTTCACACACATTAAACTGAACTAGTTCACATTCATTTTTTCCATTTTTATTGTAATTAAATGCAGCTCTGAGTGGTAAATAATTTTTTCAGTAGAGCCACCTCCTACCCATCTATCCTCAGGACCCAGTCACTGCCACCCTATAGCTTACTTTTACATTCAAGTTGAGTGGTGTAAAACAACTAAGTGCATTTATTTAAGTACTTAAGTTTGTGCAGCGCATCCACAGCATTTTATGGCACTGGAGGATTCTGATCATGGATGTCTTCTCTATGCTTTGACTAGTCAGTGGTGGAGTCAGGCAATTTTGAGAAAACCCATCGATCCTCACACACACAAGGCAAGTCCTGCTGTCTTGCAGTAAAAGTCACTGATGCATATTTGCCTGCAGTGTCCAAACTTGTATCAGACAAGACTGACAATAACATTAGCCAATTTTCTATCATGGGGAAAGGCATCAGCGTCAACATAGCTAGACACACAACTCATCCACAGCTGCTGCTGTGCCATGTATCACGTTAACCATGATTGACAGCTACCAACACCTATTGATAACATCACAAATGTTTACAACACCAGATCAGCCATAAACATAAACACAGTGAGGCCTGGCTTACCTTAACCAGATGGTTTTTTGCTCTTCTGTGCAGAAACGTCCACCATATTTAATCCAGGCCTATATGACAGACCTCGTTCCCTTGTTATCCTGCTCCTCAGGCTCAGTTCATCCTCATGTAGATGTTATCTCAACTTTAAAATGAGTGTCCAGTATTCACACGTGGCTCCAAGTACTGTATATTAGGAAAACACCGGTCTTGGCACGACATACGACCTACAATGACAACATGCAAGGACGCAAATACAGCATTCTTCTAGTTCCACAAGCACATTGTAGCTGTCCCATAAATCATGAAAAATGGGAGAAAATCCAAACAAATAGATTTTTACTATTAGCAAAAGCAATGAGTTTGGGAGGTCTGTGTGTGGCAGCAGGCTGAGGGCTGAAAGTGGAAAGTTTCAGTTAAATGAGCTTCTGATTCCTGATGTAATTGTATGCCAAAAAATATAAGTACATGAATGTGTATTTTGACATTTGTGACTTCCAGTTTAAAACTCACAGCAGCTCAATTCTCTACAGCACATCAAATCAGAAGAAGCACAAGAGCAGGAAGTGAAAGTGACTTTGCTGTAAATTGTGGAAATAAGTCTCCCTGTTCTGCACCTTTCCTTTCCTCCTAGATCTTTATCCACATGCTGCCCACTTACCTCGGCATGCTACGGCCAAAAGTGGAGGACCCCCTCCCCCTGGAGACCATGCCCCGCCGAGAGAAGAAGGTCACCATCAGCAAAGTGGCTGATGAATACTTCATTCGCAAACCAGACTCCTCCATCTTGTTCCCCAAGCCCAACAGGTGAGACCAGGCACACTCAAAGGTGTTTGAGCATTTTGGTCAGCATACTGTACAATGTGAATGCCTGTGCGGACATTAGAGTGTATTAAGATGAAACCTTATCATACAGTATCTTGTGTTTAGAAGGCTATTCTTAAAATTTCAAGTATGTAGCAGGTCATTTCTGAAGTCAGCAGGTCAGCACCTTGTTTCCTCCTGCTTGCATTTATCCTCTGAAAGTTTCAGGCTACATTAATAACCTTTACCAGGCATACCGTTACCCCAGATATATAAAAACAATTTTAGTATGCAATTAAACACAATTTAACTTTCCCTTTCCTGCATTTCATTTAGTCTAGATTTAAAAATTAAGGTCATGTAATGAGGCATTTTATGTGGCTCGCTGCTATGTTCCAGGCAATGCAAACACATTTAGACATCTTCTTAAAAGTCGCTGTCACATATTATGTGTCTTGTGTGCAAGTATCCCACCGTTTTTTTGTTTTGTTAATATTCTTGCTGTAAAAGTTGCACTTGCTGCCAAAATTTAGACCGTCAGAAATAAATCCCCCATATTGCCACTCTCTGAAGATGCCTGGGATTCTGCAGCTCAAGACTGCCCCCTTCCACTTCACACTGGCAACATTAAATACTTAGGTATCAGTATTTCCCCCAGGCTGTCAGAACTTTTTAACCTCAACTACACCCCTCTGCTAAAATAGATAGAAGATGATTCCAAACGCTGGTCCAACCTCGCACTGTCACTCATCTGTTTTCAATAATCCCCACAACACCCACAGATAAATGGTTTAAATCACTTGATTCTCTAATGTCGCAATTTTACTGGAATAAAAAGAAACCCAAAACACTTCAGAAGAAGCAATCACAAGGCGGCCTAGAAGCACCACATTTTCAGCATTATTTTTTAGCAAATCAACTACAATATTTAGTTAAATGGATTCACAAGGACGGTTATAATAGCTCATAGTTGGGAGAGGAGAATTTCTCCAGTACCAACAGTTAAAATCCATAATTAAATCAAAGATCAATATAATCAACAACCCCCTGCAACCTTCCATGCTAGCTGAGAAGATAATGAAATTTACAAACTCAAAAAAAATAACATGTAAACTTTATAAACTAATGTCAAATACAGATAGAACATTAACAATAACAATGACTAAATGGGAAAAGGATTTGGTGCTCCCCCCTCAGCCTCGACCTCCCCCCTGAATTTTTTTATGTATTTGTTTTAATTGTATTAATAATTAATAAGTACTGAATATAAGTCTGCATAGAGTTGGATACACCGACACTACACGCTTTCACACACACAACTTAATATAATAATCCCTTCGTCTCTTTTGTTAAAAAAAACCCCCTGAATTTATTTATTTATTTGTTTTAATTTTATTAATAATTACTAAGTACTGAATATCAGTCTGCATAGAGTTGGATACACCGACACTACACGCTTTCACACACACAACTTAATATAATAATCCCTTCGTCTCTTTTGTTAAAAAAAAAGGTAATGCAAAAAATTTACTAAATAAAACAGAAATATTATTGTTAAAGTGGAAAGAAAATGCCTTTAGACCTGAAGCAGCTCCAGACTGATGATAATCAAAAGTTTTACAGAGCATTACACATGAAGCTGTTCAGTAAGTAGCTGGATTTGTGCCATCAGTGGCACACAGACTGGCAGCAAACTGCTCTATCAGTCTGACGCTGCTCTTCCTACTTTGTACACAGGAAACAGGTGCCCTTGCTCAGGTAAATGTTGGTCGTAGCTGTAATTGAGCTACTTTGTGACATCTTTAACGAGCCTGCCTCCCTGCTGTTCTTTTACGTCACACCAAAAATCTTCCTCACATTATGCATCTGTCCTCCCCTCTCTCTCCTTCACTTCCAGGGGGAAATGAAATATGTCTAGAGGGATATGACTGAAGGCAGCAGAGAATCGTTGCTAAAATAATAATGACCCATGCAAATCGACTATGACAGCTTGGAGTGGCACACTGTGTGTCTAGGTGGAGAAACAGGTGACAGAGGAAGGAGGGGGAGATCTATTAGGGCATTGGGATGAGACAGCAGTATATCTCTTGAACCCACACACACCTTCTTAATTGGGTTTTGTGCATGTCTTGGCACCAGATGTAGCCAGTCTTACTTGAATTAGTCTCCTGAATAGTCGTTTATTTCTTGCTGATGAAGTGCTGCGCTCCTGCGCTCTTTCACTCCCTCTATCTGATGAGGCTCCACCTCTAGGTCACAGCCCCTTCACCTGCCACACACGCAGGCGCAGCATCAATGGCAGCGCTGCAGTGAACACCCCCAGATTCATGGGTTGAATACCAAACAGCTCTGTACTCTGCACTGCCTGCTAGGTTACATGTCATGTTTATCAGAGACACAGTGGCATACTGCCCTCTGGTGGTGAGTTGTATGACCTGCAACTCATTTTAAAGTGAAAAAGGTGTTTAATATTTGAGGTGTTTCAACAGCAGGGTGTTAATTTATGACTGTTTGGATAAGGTCATGAGGGCCAGCAAGAGAGGTTTTATAGACTTTTGTACAGGAGATGACCAAGTCCAGTTGCTTTTTTCTACGTTTTTTTCAACTTAAAACAAATAAACTATGAATGATTACACAAAATTCCACTGTTAACTTATTTCACAGTTTCATGACCAACTTTCTGGTTCTGCTTTGATTTACTGTACTGTACACATCAGGTTTAATATAGAACAAGGGATTAATATAAACATTTCATATATGCATATTTTCAATCTGACCGCAAAACTGTTGAACTGTGTTTTGCCATGATGGACTTTGTGGTAGCAATTTTGCAGAGTTCCCTGATCTCATCACATTCTACATACATTTTATCATCATGTCATAACCAAAAGCATTTTAGCTGTGAACATCCTGCAGAGAGAGCTGTGATGTATCACAACTTAAGGTCAAAGGAGTAACACTCTTTTGTTATGTCTTTAGTGGAAGCAGCCAATGGAAATCCACGTGTCATTGTTCAAGGACATGATGTACAACTAGGCATAAAAATGCAGCAGAGTAACTCAGAGCAGAAACAGTTTGAGTAATGTTTAGGGTTTCTGTGTAAAGGCAAAAGTACACAAGTTTTGTAAGAAAAAAAAACACATTCTTACTTTTACAAATGAAAAGTTTGATTGCCAACCAGCTGAATGCTCTGTTCAGTACACACAGGGGTTTTGATGTTCCAGCCAGAGTAATCTCAGCGTATGACTAGATATGTGCTGGAGAACAAAGGCCAAGGCAAACATGCAGGAAAGGAAATAAGGCTCTCCTATAGGCAACTCTAACCAGTGACTAAACACAATTACCACAAAACCCAAAAAAGGGAGAGCAAAACACACAATACAAAATTACAAACAGCTGACAGTCAAGGCCAAAAGAACAAAATGGGGAGCAGGAAAAAAGACCAGAACAAAGCTGAGGTGGCTCCTAGTTGGTAGCAGGGGAATAGAAGAGAAGAAGAATTGACGAGTTCTAGGGAGCAGCCCTAGAACCTGCAACCTGTCATGTGAACACTAACACATGACTGCAGAATTAAGGAGCAGCCTCCCCCCACCAAATCCTGGTGCCCCGTAGCAGCAGACAGTAACTCAGGGCACCAAGTAAACACAGGAACATGCATTCTGTGACTTTGTGTGGCTTTTGCGCTCTACAGGTTTCATCCAGAGGGCATGTGTACAGACCTGAGAAAATTTATTGACGGCCCCAGCAGCTACCTTACGCTACCTGATGAGCTAAAGTCGGCCATAGAGGCCATCATATACATCGCTGAGGCTCTGCAGTCCGAGAAGGACTATGAAGCTGTAAGTTTGTCTTTTTTAAATTTCTCACTGCTCTTTTCTTTAAATGAATCAACTGGATTCTCACTCTTGCTCTGTTTTGTCCCTTATTTCTCTTCCCTTCCACCTACCACTACTCCTTCCTTACACCAATTTAACTCCATCTTCTACTCTTTCCTCTACTATTTTTATATTTTGTCCCGTTTGTCCTCCCCTCCTCTCCCTCATCTTTCCATCTAACCCATTCAGTTGAAGGAGGACTGGCAGTATGTGGCCATGGTGGTGGACCGTATGTTTCTCTGGCTCTTCGTCATCATTACCACTGTGGGCACCTTGGCTATCTTTGTAGATGCCAGTTTCAACCATACACCCACTGACCCTTTCAAAGCCTCCTGAAACGCTGGAACATTTGGCTTTCTTGAACTACTCCTGACCGTTAAGAAAAGGGGGAATAAGAAATCACTGCATTAAACTGCCATATGATTTTCACAGTGTAGCTCACTGTAAGTCATTAGTGCTGACAATTCAGAGGCACCACAGGCAACGTGTCCACCACACCTTGTGTTTTCCACTGCACTGTAGTTGTATGCTCCCTACCCTTAAAGGAAGGCATGTTGTTTAACCAACTAAGTTGACAAGATCTGTACAGTTGTAGGGTGTCAAAAATTTTCTCTGCAATAAACCAGAATTTTTAATGTAAATGAATGAACATCTTGAGGTTTGACCATTGTGTGCAAGACCACTGACAATTCCATGAAAAATACCAATAAAGCAAATGTTAGCATATGTGAAAATAAGCTACCGGTGTGTTTTCTAGATGTAATAGCTACAGCAGGTCTGAAGACTATGGTTCCATATGTGTAGGTGTTAACACATAAACACTGACACAAACCAGAGGCTATTGTGAGCAAGTTGTATGGCTTCCATTTCCCTGTGTCGAGCATGGCAGGTGTTTTATCAATATTTCTGCAACCATACTAATCCTCTTTGTATTGTCAGGACTGGTGTATGCGCACATTTGCATGCTAGTTCTATTCACCAACTGCACCAACAGCCTGTGGAACTCTGTTTATGTAGCAGAGGAGATCTGTGCCTCTAAATGCTTTGCTTTCCCACAGGTCTGCACACACACAACATATCCCTTTTGTTTCTCTCACATGACTCAAATACACAACTACCCTATTAATATTGTGTTCTAATTTTGTTTTTTAAATAAAGATCTGAGGGGAAGATATCAAAGCCTCATCACCTGCCTACTGTGCTATTAATAACCCTGCACACACACACACACACACACACACGCACACAGGCACTGGTTACTGGACACAGCTACAAGGGTTTCCCTGATATTTTTGCATGTAAATGCGCTCCTACATACATGCACTGTGAGCTCTATCAGCTGATGCATTTGAAGGCAGAAAGTCTCCAGGCATTTAACAACAGTAATAGTAGTGCTTCATTATTATAGACCTGGCTGGAGCGTTACTGCCTCACTGCTGTTTGAATTATTTCTGTCCCCAGTTTATTATCATCGAGTTTGACCTTGCATTAAACTGCAGCGTTGAGATGACAGGCTGTTTGACAGATGCACAAAAACACACAGGGGGCATTCTGACTGATGTATTTACACAGGGAGTGGCCGTATGATGATGGCAAATTGGAGACATCGCAAGTCTCAGCTTGGCTCTGATTTAGGATCTGTTTGTATTTTCGCACTGGAAACCCTGACCAGCATGACAAAGACAGAATGGCAAACTGTATCGTCAGATACAAAAGAAAGGAAAAATAGAAACTGAACACAGAGAGTAGGTGATGGAGAGATTTTCTTATCTTTTGTAACAAGCAAAATAACTTTTTGACCCTAGAAATACAGAGATAAACATCACAAAAACAACATGAAAGATTTAAAGCGCAGCAGGAGCCAGAGTTCACTCCAAGGCCTTCACCTGATCGATCATAACACTTGTAGTCGGCACTTGTCTCATCATTTTTAAAGCAACATCCATCTCTATTGACGTGCTTTTCTCTTCTTGCCTCGAGCTCACTTTAAACTCATATCCAGTGTGCTCTTTCTTTAGTAAAACTCTTCAAATGGTACAAAACCTTTCCATCACTATTCAGTCCTCCTATTACTGTGCCTGCCAAGAAGTCTGGTAATTCTCAGCCTTGGCAACCTAATGCTGCAGGTTTTTCACTGCGTAGCATCTGTGAAGGAGAGTCATTCAGGACCCCTCATTTAAATTCCCACACATATATTAGATTTGATGGCTTAGGGACATATGAGGTCCCATCAAATCAGCTTTGCTCTGCTTTATGATGTCTTTTCTGCTCTATCGAGCACTTTCCAAATTTCTTTGGTCTAATATTGCTAAAATAATACCAGGGCTGTGGATGAGATCCCTGTTCTTATTATTGCCTACAGTATTAAAATGGCTCATTTTACTCTGGATCTGTGGGACATTGTCATAAACATTGCTACTCCTTGAGTCCACCCTACCCCCTTCTATATGTGTGTCCTGGTGCTACTGTCATCTATCACAGGATGAAGAAGGCATTAAGAGTGAAATAAGGTGCCACAAGTCAAACCCCAAAACAATGCTGTGCTCCACCCCACCTACTTGTTCTTTCCCCCAAAAATATCTCCATTGTCATAACCCATAGTCCACTGCCATTCCTTTAACCCATCCCACCTCCAGCACTTCTTTTTATCCCCCCCTCCCCACAGTCCTAACCTCAAATTGGTGAGCACCAACAGGTGCTTGTCCCCCGAGGCTTCCCAGTACAAACACATTCTGCCCTCCCGTCACTCCCAGCACATGCATCCAATCAGAACGTGGTTTCACCCATGGAGCTGTGGAGAGACAGACTTATCTGAGCAGTGTGTGCTGCTGAAAGTGCCAACACTCCATAACCCAACTGGAATTGTGCATCGACTTGTTGGAACTACAAAGGTGTGTCTCATCCATCTAGGTTCCAGGTGAAAACGTATGTTTGAGGGGGTCAAGGTACCTGGTTTTAGTGGGGCCTCTGATTGGCACAAACAAGTGTGAGAAGATGTCCTTATGGACATGAGTGGACAAATGAAGACGAAGCTCAACGTTCATGTGTGGAGGAACACACTTCTCATCCTGTGCAGCAGCCTTTGTCTAGCTGTCACTGGTAAGGACATTCTGAGAAATGCTGGTGTGATTGGTTTTCATTGTGTAACTTTAGGTTACAGTGGAATCAACTGTGATCAAAATGAATGTATTTTCTTAATCTGATTTTAAAACAATTTTTTATCTCTTAAACAAATATATTGCTCTTGTACCTTTCACATTAAGAGTTAAATATTGAAATACATATATGCAGTATATATGAAAAATGAGACCAAAAACAAATATGTCTGACATCCCTGGACTTTGACCTTTGTTTTCCAACTGTTATGGTGTCAAACAGTTGCCCTGTGGATGTTGGTGTGTAGGTACACTGCTCCTATGCCTCTGCCTCTCTCCTGATACCTCTGTCTATTTCCTGGGGAGCTACACAGAACAGTCCTTTCCACCTCAATTTACAACAATCATGCACTTAGGAATTAAGGGATACTGATACATTATAGTCAGATAACAGACAGGTATCTCACATTCCACTGCATCATCACTTCAGTTAATTCAGCACTGATTCATTTTCCTCACACATTTACAATGAATAGATCTTATCATGGATTTGCTGAAGGTCTTTGACTTTGAATCTCTGACAGCAAAACACTTCTATGCACTAGTTAGTAACCTTGACAAGGGCTGTGGTGTATTGTTCCTGCCTGTATCTGTCTTTGTAGAAGTCCTACAAATAGGGTGATTTTACAACCAAGAGGAGGGCCAACAGAAACAAAACAGTCTATGTCCTGTCGTAAGCAGATGTTTGTGTTGTTTCCCTTGAAAAAGACAACTCTGGAACATTTAATAAATCATATTAGCACATCTTTGTTTGTTAATCAGAGTCTATTCTCGTCCCTGATGGAGCTGCTATCCCATACATCCCTTTGATCCCATTTCCCTGCTGCATATCAATTACATTAGCTCAGTCACCTTCGCTAACCATCTTACCACACCAGCACCTGCCTTGCCGCCTGCTTCTTCTGCATGTCCTCTCTGTCCTTCCCTGTCTTTTCAATGAGATGAGAAGTTAGCCCATCATCACTACATACTGTGACATACTTTTGGAGTTTTATAGTCAAGTGTTTAAGCCTGCTAAATGTCCAATTGTTAAAATTTTATGATGCGCTCTTCCTTGAAGTGAATGACAGTAAAACTTTATATCTGTTGTCATTGTTCATAAACTCACATTAAATCTACTAGAACAAATTTCACTAATGATTCCTGACACATGGCTCCAATATTTATTTACGGATCAAAGAATACACTACCCATGCTATTTGTTTGACACTATTACAGTAGAACATGAATTGAAAAACACACATACTGAGTATACATGAGCTTAGAGTGTATTTATAGCATGGGTCATCCCAGTGGGAACCACTGCAGACCTGATCCACTGTGGTCTGGGTGTCAGTGGCATGGGTCATGTGCTGTGGTTGTCATTTATCTAATTTTAACAGCTTTGTTTTTTTTTTTTACTATTACTAAGTCAGGATCTGTTCTAGTTTCACGCTCTTTCTTTTGTGTTGTGTTCTGTCCTCATAAGTTAAACTTTATTTAAAATGTAGAAGAATTCCAGGAAAAGAAATAAATGAATGAGCGGAAGACAATAAAACAAAGATCTTGATGACCTTGATTTGATCATTTTTGGTATTATTTGTTATTTTTATTTATTTTTTTTAGCCATATCGCCATTCACTGCTATTCAATTTTTCTTAGGTGGTGACAGCTATTGGTCCATTAGTTCACATTTTCTGTCTCTCTGCTTCCATCCTTTCATCCTGAAGCCTCAGAAACAGAGCGGCGGCTCCATCTGAAACTATTTGAAAACTACAACATGAAAGTCAGACCAGCTCGTTACTGGGAGGAGAAGGTGATGGTGCGAGTGGGGATGACCCTCTCCCAGCTTGTCAGCTTGGTAAACACAAACGCACACAAGGACATGCACACTCAAACATACAAACACATCCATAAGAATAGTTTGAATCCTTTATATATTACAAATTACACTACCCATGCTATTTGTTTGACACTATTACAGTAGAACATGAATTGAAAAACACACATACTGAGTACACATGAGCTTAGAGTGTATTTATAGCATGGGTCATTCCAGTGGGAACCACTGCAGACCTGATCCACTGTGGTCTATATATTAAGTTGTTAGCATATATGAAAATGCAGCACCATTTTGCAGTACACACACCATTACCCATATCACTGCAGCCATACCCAATTAACTTCTATGAAGCAGCATTGAAAGTATCAGCACTGCCATGCTCAGCAAGATATAGTGGCATAACTAATGTATGTCCCTCCCTCTCTTTCTCTATGTCTCTCTATCCCTCTGCAGAACGAGAAGAACGGTGAGATGACAACAAACGTGTTCATGAATCTGGTAAAAGGATGCAAACATTCATCTTCATCACTGAGCCTCATTCAGCAGCTCTCCCTTCTCCCTCCTTTCTGCTCGGTCACTCTGTCCTCAAATGGACTTGTCACTTTATATAATCACAGATTATTTCTTGCTTTACTCTCCTACTCGCTCCCACGTTTTTGTGCCTCGACCTCACTAATTAGAATTCATCCAGTTTGAGTGTTTGTGACAGCAATATGTGAGTGAAGGATTTAAATGACTCATCAACGACAAAAGAAACAAGTGTCAGACACATCAGGGCACCTTATTAAAGATTCCACCTCTGGTCTATGCCTGTTATTTTCCCCTCTTCTTTATTTCTTCATTTTTTTTTATCTTCACTCCCTGCCTTGCTGCCTTTCTTCTTCACCCTTCCTTCCTTCTGTGTCAGGCATGGACAGACTACAGGCTGACATGGAACCCAGAGGAGTACGACAGCATCGATGTTTTGAGGATTCCACCAAACAAGGTGTGGCGTCCTGACATCTACCTCATAAACAAGTGAGTGTCCTAGCTGCAGTTACATAGTCATCCACATTATCTGTCACACCTGCAGAATGGGACTAAATGATACATTTGAAAAGCTGTAAATGCTGTATCATATTTTATGTGGCAGGATGATACAACATGAACATTCTTAACAGTGTTTGTGCTTGTTAATATATGGATATGGCCTAAATAGATGTTTTCACTAGTACATAAAATGGAAATGTATTTTCAGGATGCAGAGTTGAAATTCCATGGTATTATAACACCTCTGACATATAAGCTTCAGATTTGTTGTTCCTTTTTCCTCCCTACAGTAATGATGGTCAGTTTGACGTGGCTCTCTATGTCAACGTCTTAGTTTACAGTGATGGAACAGTCAACTGGCTTCCCCCAGCCATCTACCGCAGCTCCTGCTCTATAGAGGTGCAGTCCTTAATGACCACTTACACACTGAAAACCACTGATACTTCAAAAAGTGCATATTTCTGAAGAATCATTTTCACATCACAAAGTGGTTAAGCAGCTTGTACTTTCCACTCCCAAAGGTGGCATACTTCCCCTTTGACTGGCAGAACTGCAGCATGGTTTTCCGCTCATACACCTATGATGCCTCTGAGGTAGACCTGCAATACTTTCTGGATGACAACGGCAAAGAGATCCATGAGATTGTTATAGATGAGAACGTTTTCACTGGTTGGTGCCTACATTGCCCTCATCCAAAACCTGTAGCCCTCCTGCAACTTATGATAAATATGTTATACAGATATAGGCCGTTTTTTCTCTTATCACAAGTACCTGCTTTTTTAATCTTTTTCCTCTCTTTAGCCACCTGATGTTTTTATTATTATAATGTTCATGTTTTATCACCCTGTATGTCTCTTTTTCCACAGAGAATGGAGAATGGGCCATCTGTCACAAACCCAGCAGGAAGAACGTCAAGGAGGACCTGTATGAGGACATCACCTTCTACCTCATCATAGAGAGAAAGCCTCTATTCTACATCATCAACATCATTGTGCCCTGCATCCTCACCAGTGTGTTGGCTATATTTGTCTTCTATCTACCCCCTGGAGCAGGTCAGTCCATCTGACATAGGAAACTGACTTTGATCAGGATTTTTTCATGTCAGTCTGTGGTCAGCTTTCAAAGTGATGGAAACTATAGATACAAAGCAGCAGGATGAAGGTTAAAAACATGCTGATTTTTTAAATGCTTTTGTAAATCAGTTTTAACAAATAGAGAGAAGGTACCACCGGCGTATTTCTCCACAACAGTTAAAAGCAACCCTGTCTTAAAATTCTACCCTTGTTAACATGAAGCACAGGCTAGCACAGTAATACTGCATTATCTGCTTCACTGTCATAACCGATTCTTCAAGTTGTCCCTGTCGTTTACAGGTGAGAAGATGACTCTCTCTATTTCTGTCCTCATTGCTCTGACCGTCTTTATGCTGCTGCTGGCTGACAGGGTCCCTGAGACGTCCCTCGGTATCCCAATTATTGTCAATTATGTCATGTTTACAATGATCCTGGTTACATTCTCTGTCATCCTGAGTGTGGTCGTCCTCAACTTACACCATCGAACACCCAGCACACACACGATGCCAAACTGGGTTCGAAAGGTGAGGCTGGATTTTACATTTATCCAAATTCTCTGAGCATCCATCTTAGCTATTTCAGTACCTTAAAGAACTTCAATTTCACAGCTTTTTGAACCTTAAATTTTCAGGTCTTCATCCATTTTCTGCCCAAGTACATCGGCATGATGAGACCAAAGCAAGAAGAACCTCTGACAAAAGAGGAGTCTAATGACGACACATTTATCCGAAGCTTCAATGGTTGGCAGCCTGGAGGAGAGTACTTTGTTCGCAAGATCAACCCAGATCTTGTTTTACCCTGGAGAGGCAGGTAAGACCACATTTACAAACAAGGAGTGTCCTGTTGCTCTGACTTGATCAATTTAACAATAGTTTTAGTTGATCAAAATGAAAAAGTACTGCATAATTGTTCATATATTTTCCAGTAACTGAATTACCAGAGAAAAGTCTGTATGACTGATGTTCACATTCTGTTTGTAAGTTGGCTGCCATTCAAATCCTTGTCACTACTCTGCTGAATGAAAAAGTAAACTACGATGTTTGGAAAACACCTCCAGTAGAGCGCAAATCTCATTTTATGTGATTTGTCCTAGTGTATTTTTGCATCACCTTCTCCTCATTCAACTGCTCAGGTAACACTGAGAACCCAACCACCAGTTGGCACGGCCAGAAAAAAAAAGGCAAGGGTTAAAGGTACTCAGATAAAAAAAAGGGGGGGGGGGGGGGTTAATGTAAATGAAGAAAATGGAGAGGTTAGCCATCTTTAAACTGACTGTCGATTAAAACTGTTTACAGTATGCTATGCTATTATATTTGTTATATGTTGGTCCAAGAACTCATCCTCAGATATTTATAAATCAGTGACAAAACTCAAAAGACATCATTCATCTAAAATATCACTTCAGTTCATGCTGCCTGTTCAGTCATGCTTCATTCTGACTAATCATCCAGTAGGCGTCTGCCTTGCCTCCCAACCCGGGCATCATAAATGGCTTCACAGTGTCCTACACCAAATCTGGGCATCTCTCAAACCATTTCAAAGGCATCAAATTCAGCCCTAGCTAAGCCTCATGCCCCTGTCCACAGTCGCCAGTCCCTAAGCCTCTGTTTAGGTTGGGTATTAGGGGTTTTTCAATGGAGGTGGGTGAAGAATAGAATGGGGTAGACGAGTAGAAGGGAAGAGCCATGCTGGGTGACTGAGGCAGAGGGGGATCTATTCATGACATGGAAGAGAAGATGGTGATGCTGTCAGACACCATCATCCATTCTGTGTCATATAAGTCTCTCTTTAGCTTCCTATTCAGTCAGGGGGGTAAGATTATGAGTGCGCATATATTCATGAGAATTTTCTACATGTTGTGAGTGCATTTATTTGATCTGTATTACTATGTGCAAAAATATTTTTCCAGGCATGTGTCAGTCTACTGTTCTTATGTGTCAATGCATCAGTTATGTAATCTACATAAATCTATCAGGGTACAGTATACATCCTTGTGCTTGGGTAAGGGTGTGTCTGAGTGTCTCTTAGTGAAAGAGGCTCCATGTATCTGTGGTAATGAATACAAGCTGTGGAATGTGGATGGCATGCAGCATGTGCACCACATAGCTGAGCTGTGGTCTCACACACACACACACCCACACACACCCACACGCACCACCTCTCCTACAGCAGCAGCTCTCTGTCGCTCATTTTTTATTGTCTAGCAGCCTATCTGGTGTCACACTGCCTCTCTGTGACTCTCTGTGCTTCTTCTCCTCTCTGGTGCCGGAGGTTCTGCACATCATACACACTATACAGTACATCGCACATACATTACATACTTACAGACTGTATGTAGGCATAATACTGAAGCGCTAATCTAACAGGTGCTCTGTCGTGGTGACACGGTGATGCTGTATGAAGATCTCCTACATCTATAGACATTTTTCACAGCAGCCACTTTGACATGTCACAGCAGGAAAATCACAGCTGAAACTAATTGTGTTAATGATGGCTTGTTTGCATCAAGTGGCCCAGTTTCAGTTACACCTGTGCTTTTTCCTGTTACAACTTGCCAAAATGTCTGCTGTGAAAAAGGCCATATGTCCTATTTTTACATCATTTGTATACTGTCCTAAATACAGTGTTAAAAGCCCTAGAAAATGTGAAAACTTGGGTCACAAAATGTATACATTTACTCCTACCACATTACTTAATGCAAACCAACTATAATATACGGTGATTTAACAATCCCCAGTGTCTCACCTATAAACACCTCTGGACTAACTGGACTAAATTAATAGTTGTACATGCCCATCTTTGTTTATATCTTGTTCTCCAACTTCATTATTGAAATTGTCCCTCTGTCTCCTTCCTTCTCTGTCTTTAAGGTGTGAGAGCACAGTGCAGCTCCAGCGACTCCCGAACACTGACAACTACTGCCTGATCCTCCCTCCCAACCTGAAGTCGGCCATTGCTGCTGTTACATATATGGCTGAGCAGCTGAAGAAGCAGGACGTGGATGACACTGTGAGAAATGTGCATGACAGGACACAGTGCATAGTGTACTGCCAGGCAACTTGTTATTCAGTTCAGTTATAGTTAGTGAGCACAGTGTTCCAGACATGCTTCTGTGATGTTCATGTGTCACTGCATACACACAGTACAATGCTGAGTCGGTGCTTACAACTTTTGTGTGTGTGCCTTTGTACTTACATTATGGGGAACGAACCCTGTTAACACACTCATATCGTGGGGACTTGGCCATCCTGAATTTTATGGTGGCAACATGGTTTAAGGTTAGGGTGAGGTTAGGGTTAGGTGTTAGGCAAGTAGTGGTTATGGTTAAGGTAGGATAAGTCTACAGGAAATGAATGCAAGTCATGTAAACCAATGCAAAGTCCCCACAGGGAATGAAAACACAGTGTGTGTGTTCCTCCTCAGATGACGAGTGATTGGCAGTATGTCGCCCTCGTGGTGGATCGTCTTTTTCTGTGGTTGTTTGTCATCATCAGCACTCTGGGCACCCTGGCCATGTTCTTGGATGCTAGCTTCAACTACACTCCTGATAACCCCTTCCCATAGAAGATCACACACACACATTGTGTGGCTGTCACTATATTTGTATTTCTTCTTGGTGCTTTTTGCAATCCCCAGATCTGACTTTCCATAAATATATATTCTATATTTCTGCTGTCAGCCTCTGAAATGTTTTGTAAGATCAAGTGACACATTTACATAAAGTAAAATATGATTGACCTGATAATAGAAACAATGTGTGTAGAGTTAAAGATGGTAAATGTATATGTGGTAATAGCTTTTTTAGATTTTTATCTAAATCATGTATCTAACACATTTTGTGCTTTTTTTTTTTAGTCTAAAAGTTTGAAACGCATGTTTCTTGAAAATGACAGCATTTGATTCATAGTTCCCACTTTTTAGTGTTGTATTTTGTGGAGCATACAGAAAACTGCTCATTTGTGCTCTGTGCTCTGTTACAGAGAACAGTGATTATGCTTAGTGACTGTAATGTTGGCTTTTGTGCAAAAGAGGGCAGTAATACAATGTTGATTCAAAAGATGAGAACACTACAGACAGACAGACAGATAGACAGATAGATGTGGCTCTAGGGACAAAGCTCTTACTGAAGCATGCCTTTCTACACATGTAATCTATGTCTACAGCCAGAAGGAATGGGGCTAGAGTACTAGTGGTTCAGGTGATGTGTTATTGAGAGTGTACTGTAGATGAGAGATGAGGTGACACAGCCAGATAAGTTTGAAGTCGGAATTGACAGAACTGATGGTACCACGTAGAAGAAGTGGTTCAATAATGTTACATTCTAGGAGAAGACGAAGATGTGGTTGGACAGGTGCTTTAGTTTACAGATGGCTGAAAGTCTCTGTTGACAGTACTTCTAAATGTCTGTGGTTTGCTGATTGAAGCTGAGGTTATTTTCCAGTGTATTCCTAAGGTATCTGTAGGATGCCACCACTTCTACCAGAGTACTTTTATCATCTGCATATTTGAAGTAGGGGGTTGTAGTGGATGGGCTTTAGCCATCTTTTGTGTAAAGGTAGACAAAAATATATCCCTAATGTTCTGGTTGGGGTACTAGAGACCCCATATGCATTTTCACAGTTCAAAAATATATTTAAAATTTAAAATCACCTTGATAATTCATAACCTTTTCTAATGTTATGAGACCTGCTAAGAAATATGATTTGGAAGAAGTCGACCACAAAAATTAAGTGTTTCTTCTGTTTGGGATCTTAAAGCAGGAATACATTCAATAGATTTCATGGATTCTATATCTATAATTAGTGTGAACAATACTGTATACACAGTACTACACCTCCTACATCCTCCAGAGTATATTTGGATTTCTGATACTGGAGTGTTGTTCATTAAAGGTCTAATAGGGAGGTCAGTCTCTCAGAAATGTAAGTTACATCATTAAAAGAAAAGTGGGGTCCACAGGATGCTAGACAACGGGCAAGTGAAGCCAATAATAATAAAAAAAAATTTAAAAGATTCCTAGAAATATTATTTTAAAAGGAAAGGTTAACACCAATTTGTCATCTTTTGAATCCTTTCTCACTAATGTCTCCTCCTTTTCCGTCACATCATGAGCTACACTGTCATGTCATTCATGTCTGTGAATCATTAAATGGTTGTTTTTAACGGCCACATCCAACTTCCATGAAAACGCCCATGACATCCCCAGTTCAGTCACTCTTTAAAAGACATCTCTTAATAATTGTAGGAAGCAAACAAGCAAAAACACTTGCAAAGAGGAAGGGGTACCTTGACAGTTACAAAGCCCAGTTGTACATTGCAACACACAAGGTAACCATTTGGCATGAGGAGGAGGACAATGTCATTGCTCATCATTATATAACAGGTTACCATAGCTACTTCATGTTTTTCTTAAGCAAAGACTATTGGATCAGATTATGGACAACTATTAGTTCTTAGAGTTCTGTCATATCTTCTTGCTTTTTGAATTCCTTTGCTTTTTGTCAATATATAAATAAGGCTACTCATGTACTTGGGCAAACTCTGGATTTTATTATATCCTATTGGTATTCCATTGATAATAAGCACCACAGCTCTTTTCAGCCACTTTCTTTCTCAGGGCTGAGGAACTTAGTCATACATATAAATGTACAACCTCTCCTTAGGATGTAGGCCCCTCTTCACATTGCTAAGGACGCATTTGATATAATTGGTTTGAATATTCAAACCATTATACATTCCTGATTAGTTTCTGGCATTGATCCTGCTTGTTTTAAGCATGTGATTATTCACCCCCTGCTTAGAAAGCACAACTCGACATCACCTGTCTAAATAATTTTTGCCCTATTTCTAAATTGCCATTTGTCTTCAGAATTTTGGAGAGTGTCTTTCTTTCACAGCTGCTCTCATTCTTGAACTCTGTTGAGCTTCTTGAACCTTTTTCAGTCTGGTTTTAAAGCCTTTCATAGTACTCAAATGGCCCTGTTAAAGGTGACAAATGATCTATTGCATGTTGTTGACTCTGCTTATAATGCAGTATTAATTTTATTGGACCTTAGCTCAGCTTTTGACATTGTAGACCATAACATCCTTCTGACATGCCATGAACATAAAGGCGGTATAAAGGCTACAGCACTACTCCGGTTCAAATCGAATCACAAACAAAGGTCATTTTTTGTGGCTGTTGGCCATTTTTCCTCACCAGCTGCTCTCCTTAATTATGATGTTCCCCAGGGGTCCATCCTGGGGCCATTCCTCTTCTGTTTATATATGCTGCCACCTGGTAATATTATTAGGAAACATGCTGATGATTTACAGTTGTATTTACCATTAAAATCTAGGGATTCTGTGCAGCCCCTTTTTGGATTTTATTGGGTTGACATCAAATAAAGGATGGATGTCAAATAACTTTCTTCAGCCAATGATAGAACTGAAGATATCTTTGGTCCTACCATGAATAGAAGCTGTCTTTCTTGGAATATTAGACCATCTCACTCCATATCAGAATCAGCTTTATTGTCCAGGTGTGTCGGACGAATGAGGAACTTGACTCTGGTACATGGGCAAGCAAAGGGTAAACCAGCATAAGGCTGTGTAATATAATATGTAAAGTTGCATACTAAGTACCTGGGTGATAGCTTTCATTTTGAGCTCTACTTTAACAAGGAAATCAGTTCAATTGTTAAACAATGGCTTCTATCAATTAAGGACTATTTCAAAACTCCTTTCTCCACTTTCATGACCTTTCAAGGCCTTCCTCAGACTTCATTAACACATCTGCAGATGCTCCAGAATGCAGCAGCAAGACTGCTGGCTGGTACAAGAGAAAATACCTATATCATCTTGGTCCTGGCCTCTCTCCACTGGCTTCCTGTCCATTTCAGGATTCAGTTTATGTTGCTGCTTGTTTTTAAGGCCTGTAATGGGCTGGCCCCATCCTATACCACAGACCTTAATCATTTGCACTTGGGCCCTAGGTCTCTTAGAACTTCGAACAAAGCACTATTACATGTTACATGATCACGGCTCAAAGGGGACAGAACTGTTGCTGTTGCTGCACCTTGCCTGTGGAACCAGCTACCTTTTGATATTAAAACCGTTCCTTCTATCTCCGTTTTTCAATCCAGGCTGAAGTCACACTATTATTTTCTGGCCTTTTCAGCACATTCATCTGTTAATGTTATCATTTTTTGTAAATATTTCCATTGTTACTTGCAGTTATGTGCTTTGTTGCACTACTTATGTTTCTATTTGATATTTTATTTTTGTATGATCAGCATATGCTATTATAATGTATTTTAGAAATAACATTTACTTACTTGATTCATTCTTTATCTTTGATATGATAGTCTGAATTTTCAGCTCCTAAATTGTACCTTTAGAAAGTATTTATCTATTCATCTACATTTCTATATATTCCTCATGTGCACCCTTACTGGATTTTGCTGTTTATTGTAGTTGCTCTTTCTCAGTATATTAAACTTTATCATTGTTCTGATGGTTTTTCTGTAGGACATCAACCTTAGATCATACTATGTGCTGATGGAATTTGAGTGGTGTTGTGTGTAAAGTCTGTGCTGCATAACCATCAAAGTCCTCCTTGTTTGCTGCCAACAAAAGGTTTTGTACAGTCGCACTTTTGAGCAGTGGAATATCTTTTAATAAATCAAGTATTTTATTTCCAGGCAGAACTGTAGTGCCCCATGAGACAACATTATGGTGCTGTTAACTTGACATGAATTAGTATGGCTAGCACAGAAAAGCACCGGCTGTGTTGAAAAAGGTCATCTCTCCATTTACTGCATTCACGGGAAAAGACAAATCCAAATATAATGAATGGTACAAATAGTCTAAAAAGCACTTCAGGGCAATTGAGAAGATGGACAGCAGAGGGGATAAAGAAACAATTACTTTTTACTGGTAAATCATTGCAAAACCCTAAAGGCTGTGTTGAGAATTCTAACAGAAGTACCATAAAACAGTTTTATGATTAAAGGCTGAGTTTTTTAAAACTGAGATTTAAATATGACAATAAAAACCTAAAGCTTATTTAGACTGTAGGCCAATAATAAGCATATTTTAATTTGGTTGAATGCAGTGGTGGAGTCATCTGGGGGAATGCGTGTGTCCTCTGGTCAGCTTGTTATTAAGGAAAATGAAAATCAATTAAAGAGGCATAAAACAACTACATAAAGATATAAAATTATCATAATGAGACACAAAATGAGCACAGTGAAATCTTAAGCAGCTACAGATTCAAAAGGTGAGATACAAAATGAAATTCAAAGGACTGACAAAAAATGTATGTTGACCACAAAGAGATACAAAATGACTACAATGAGATTAAGATGCAAAACAAGATGCAAAATGACTAAAAACAGACGCAAAGTGACTACAGCAAATCGAAAGAAGAGGAATTGGGGCTTAACATTTTAATTAAAACACATTTTACTCATTTACAATGAGCCTCTCTTCTCTGACACTGTCTCTGAGTACACTGCATTCCTTTAGACCTTTCATGACCACTGGTGTGTGCGCAAAGCCACAGCATCTGTAATTGTCTTCACTGTGTCCAAACTTCCCAAATATGTTCCTACCCTGCATGTAGCACTCACTTTAAGAGAAAAGAACACCCTCTCTCACTGCCTCGGGGGGAATATGACAAGAATGAGCCCACAAGACCAAGAACACAGTGTACTGACCCTGTCCTGCTGCTGTGGCACAAAAGCAAAGTCTTGTTGTGTAAGAAGTCTGAACGTGGAAAAGACAGGACATAGAGGGAAGGGCGCCATACCCCTTATTTGTGCACTTTGAGCTTTTCAGGGAAAAGACATGGGCCCCACGTGTTTTATTGCTAACGCCTCAGTGACTTCCAAGGGCACTTAAAGGACTTCAATCACTGGATTTGCACTCCACTTACTCACTTCAGACCCAGAGGAGGCCTCAAAGACAGGAGGGAGAGCCCCTGAGAGAGTGTTACTGCCCTTCTTCGGGCTGATTTAGCTGTTTTCTTTTTCACCGCCTATTGAGTGTCAAGCAATGGCTAAACCAGCAAGACAAATGTGTGTTTACGCTTTTAAAAAAGAAAGTAATAAAAGAGAAAAGAAGAGAAAGAAAAGTGGGAGAAAAGAGCAAGGTTCTTTTTGTGTCCTTTGAAATCCAGGGACTGTGTGGAAAAGCAGCCAAGAGGACATCAGATAAATCAGGTTACCAGTAGCAACAGCACTGGAAGGCTCGAGATTGGCCTCTAATCTTCTTCCTGCTCATCTTCCTCTTCCACATCTCACACAACACCTTGCGCAACCCTTTTTTTTTTTACCTACATATGTTTTATTTTGTCACTTTTCCTCTGTCTTTGCCTTCACACTTTGATCCTAACAACTTTCAACCTTCCAAAAACCACCTTCCTCTTCCTCCTCCTCCTCCCCCTCCTCTTCATCAACCTTTGTATCAAAGTAAAACAAATTCCCTGAGCTATGGGGTCATTCCTCCCAGGCAACAATGGGGCATTTGTTGGTCACAACAGCTACTGAGTACAGTAGAAGGGGAAAGAGGTATGGTGGGTAAAGAGAAAGGGCAAAAATGTGAGAAACTCAAAGAACAGTTCAAGGTTGGAAAACTAGTGTACGAGGAAAAGGGGGTAAACAGATTGAAAGCAAAGCCTTATTACATCTTAAATAGGTAATCCAACCTAGGTGACCACTTTATTAACTTGGAACAAGGCGTAACTTCCTCCAAGATTATGGGTTATTACTTCCTCTCCCATTGCTGTAAGACTATTGTTTAACCACAGTGTGAAGTCACACACACTGCAACAACAAGCCTGATCCCTGATATGGACAATGCCTGCTACTGTCTCTTGGATTTCCTATTCACTGCAGGAAGTGGCTACAACTGGCACGTTAATTGCCTTAGTGTAGCAAATACATTTTACAGCATTTTTAAGTAACAATAAAAATAAAATTGTCACCTCCACTGAAAAAATCATATCCATTTTTAATAAATCCATCTTGAGAGCTAAAAGGTTATGTGTGTGGGATTTTGACATTCCTTAATCCAGAACCAGCAATTCCTGCTTTCCAAATGTCTTCCCTTCTTCTCATTTGTATTTCTTCCAGCTGACTGCACAAGGACAAAACAACAATGACCTACACTCTGCGTTCTCAGTACACTGGTTTTATGTTGATGTAAAACAATATCCATTCTGCCATATTGTGAAAATAGCTGTAGTGGTTTTGTAAGGAGACGTGTTCTGTCTGACACAGTGGGCATCCTGTCTCCCCCCAGGACTCTGTCCAACCGCTCTGATGTGCAGGTGAGGGCACAGATAACTTTCATCAAAGTCTATCAGGTAAACTTTGGAGTCTGAAAGTCACCACAAGTGTTTAGCAGCTTGGGGAGCAAGGACAACTTTTCTTGTAAGTTTTTGTACTTCTGTAAACTTTTAAAACTTCAAGAAGGAAAAAAAAACCTTTTGTAATGTGTAGCTTTTTTTTGCTGAGCTTTTTTTATTTACATTTTATTGAATTTGTTTATTTTCTCCTTTGTACTGGACTGTATTTTTTTTATATAGCGCTTTCTCACAGTGTGTTGCACTGACCAAAGCGCTTTACAGGAGATCATACACCATTCACCCATTCACACACAACATTCACACACCGATGACGACAGGCTGCCATGCATCGGCGCTAGTCAAGCCACCGGGAGCAATTCGGGGTTCAGTGTCTTGCTCAGGGACACTTAGGCATGCGGGGAGACCGGGAGTCTAACCACCAACTTGCTGGTCAGGAGACGACTGCCCTACCTCATGAGCCACAGCCACCCCTTTGTACCAATAATCAGACACAAAGTGGCTGACTTCTCAAACATAAAATCAAATGTAATACATCAACTGGTTTGATCTCTCCTGGAACGTCTGGTTAACCAAGCAGTAAGGCAAGTTTTCTCCAAAAGCAAATATGTACTATAACTGTCAGCTTTTTCAAACAGCCCCTGAGTTTGTTGTTTGTATGTTGTTCGTTGTCCATCTCTCCCCATCTACTGCATCCTCATAATGTGATGTGATCACACTGATCATGCTGATCAGTTTTCAGCATGTAGTCCTCCTATCCTTATTAACAGGAGACAATTTTTCTATACTGTACGACCATATCAGAGTCTGTATTTCTTCTTCCGAACACTTTAGTAAGCATGATGGTTATTCAAAGCCCAGGCACCATGTTTTCAATAGTGTCACCATCATGTACAGTAAAGTGAACTTTCTACATGCAGATAGGCCTATAGGCTTAACTTAACAGAAAATCCCCAAAATGTATCTGGACATACACTGCCCAGCCACTTCATTAGGTACATTATATTCTTAGGTACAATATATACTAGATTTTTGTCCTCCTCAGCTACATACATGAGAATATTCAGAACACCTCTGAATATACTGTAGTCCAATACAACACCACCTTTTATAATGACCTCAATAAAAAAAGTTTTTTGTTTTTTTTTTTGTTTTTTTTTTACATTTGTGACAATTTTCTCAAAAACTGAAACACTGTGAGCTTCATAAGCACAGATGTTACGGCAGAAGTGTTGCATTGACGTGCATATGGTTGCACAGGTGTGACTATCAATGTGGCCAGGCAGCGTGCTGTATTTACTGTACAGCAGAAAGTTTAGTACAACTTTTATAAGCATTAATGGCTTGAGTGGGTTTGGATGATGCTGAGCTGCCCAACAAAACTGCGTAATGATGGATCAGACAGAGACAGAAGAGTTTACAAACTGATAAAGAGAAACGTGGAGTGGAAAGACAACCTGTTGCTTTACCGAGGGAGCTTTTCCCAGCAGCAACTCCCCACGACCACAGAGAACTGCTGCCCCATGCATCAGCAGGGATGATAATTACACACCCACTTTCACAGCGTCTCCCACATCTTGGTGGCCAACCCAGACTGAAGACCTCCGTACACAACTTCAAACTGCATCGCGGATACTACGCTTTCGCACTTAATGACAATTATCAGAACTTAAAAAGGCAATTTCGGGAGATTTGCATTTTGCAGAGGGACACACCAAGTTATCTTAGAAAAAAAGGACGAACTTGAAAACGATGGCCAACTCCGGTATTCAGTTGTTGGGCTTCTTCCTGTCACTAATTGGTGTTGTTGGACTGATCGTCGGGACTATTCTGCCGCAGTGGAAGATGTCAGCGTACATCGGGGACAACATCATCACAGCGGTGGCCATGTACCAGGGGCTCTGGATGTCCTGCGCTTTTCAAAGTACCGGGCAGCTCCAGTGTAAAATCTACGACTCCATTCTGCAGCTCGACAGTAAGTAACATGGGTTCCAAGAGGGCTCCTGGGAAGGTGAGGGGCTTTCCAGGAGAGTGACCTTGAATTAGTTTTATTATGTAAAAAAATAAAAGGATCTATTGGGTTGCCTGGTCTGGAATCACACCATCTTTATTTATTTATTTTTTAGTTACTTTACGCTCTAAACTCATGAACAAATACATCCCAACACCAACCAACACAATGCTTTGTGGGGATTTCCGATAATTTAAGGAACATTTTGCATAAAGAAATAAACACTAAATCAGAGCTCTGGTTTTATGTAGCACCTGTTGTGCAGTGATAGGTCAGTTAGAATATGGACACTCAACTCAAATGTTCTCTGCTGAATTATTTGAGAAAATAAAATCCATATTATAGTATTAACATTGTAATTATGGTAGCATACTAATGTGCCCACTGCCCAAGAGGCCCCACACCCATTTGTTTGAGATAATCTGATTTATGTTAGCTAAATTTCAGGCCCCTGAAAGGCCTCAAGCGGGGACTTGTAGAAGGGCTCTGTATCCAAACTTAAATGGTCTAGTTTCCTAAAAATTAATGTTTGACCAAATTAAAACAGAGGGTCAGTGGGTGCCCAAAAGTTGTTTCTGGCTACACCTGTGTATATCTGTAGCTTTATGGAATATTGTTTAGTTTGTTACCAAAACAATAAGCGCTACAGTGTCCTTCTACCAAGTAGTACAGTATAGTAGGCTATAATAGATTCTAATCGTAACCAAACATGTGCTTTGTCTGCAAAGTTCCTATAGGAGGTTCACAGTGTGATGTGAAGCTAAGCCCCGGTGCGTCCAGCTCCAGAATTACATTTACTCTGCAATATACAATAATGTTTCCATTTCTCACAATTTTATAGAGTGCACCTCTCTGTTATCTCTCATCTTTCTCTCTCTTCTCTGTATCCTACTGGCCTCTATGGTTCTATCCCTCCATCCCTCCCTCACTGCTGGAGGGTTTTGTTTGTTTGGGCAGGGCAGGGATGGCCTAGACTGGCACAGACTGGTTCTAGGTAGACAGGGAGAGGGAGACACAAAGAGGGGCAGTGGGGGGCTCACCGTGTGATGGGTTTATTGGGTGAGGAGGAGGAGGGGGAATCTGACAAATGCAGATCCTGACAGGATCGTTTCAGTGAACCGCCACCTCTCAAACAGCAGCAGATGGAAGAGGGACAGTGAAAGTGGGAGATGTGTTTTCTTTGGTTTGTGCGTGGTGGTGTGTGTTCATGTGTATCCCACAGTTTCTCTTCCAGGAAAAGCTTACACTGGAATGTCTTGTCAAGGTACTGTGAATATAATTCACAACCTCCGGACACACACATAAAGCCTTTCCTATTATTTTGCAGCTTGTGCTTCCAGAGTTACATTTCAGAGCAATTATTTGTGTGGCCATTGTGTTTTAACAAGGTGCTGTATTTTTACCCTTTTAAACTACACACCAACATTGCACAAAACAACACCCATTCACTGCCTCCCCCAGCAGAACCAACTCACACTACCTGTATGTTTCTTAAATTAATTTTTTGCTTGCTTCTCCCTGTCTTCTTCAGGTTCACTGCAGGCCACTCGTGCCTTGATGATAGTTGGCATCATTGTGTCCATCGCAGGGTTGGGTGTGGCCTGTATGGGAATGAAGTGCACTACGTGTGGAGGAAGCGACAAACTACGCAAGTCCCGTATTGCCATGACAGGAGGCATCATCCTGCTAGTGGGCGGTGAGGATAGAAATGGATCTATAGGTTTTATTCAAAGGTTATTGGAGTTTCTCATAAAGTATAACTGGAGGAGTCTAGTGCACTTTTAAAAGGTTTTGTCAGAAATAGAGGGCTTTTTAAATATTTACATTTTAGAAAACACTGCCAGCATTTCATATTTTCACAATGACAATGTTTAGTTGTGTGTTAGCCTGCTAAAATTTGCTAATTATTACTAAACAAAAAAAACACAGAGGCTGATGAAAATGTCATTAGTTTTCAGGTCATAAGTTAAAGCACTATTTAACCATAAACCAAAACAAACCTGATGTCGGCATTAAATGCAAAGCAAAAGATCAAAGTTAATACAATTCACCCTAAAGGAGGGCATTAATGTGGGTACCTAATTGAATGGCAACCAAACCAATAGTTGCAAATCTGGTTACACAATATTTCATCAAAATCCACCCAAAAAGATGTCAGCATAATTTTCTTAGATCTTCAGTACGTCATACATTCTTGTAGGTGGGAGTACGTTTGATCCCCAGTCCACAAAGCTTTCCTCCAACTCTTCATAGGTCATTAGACTGAATGAGACCAGTACTCCTGGCACTAATTCTAACACAGGAGGTCTCACTGGCTCTGAAGAGACCAGAAACATTAAAAGCTAAATGAACTGGAGTCAGTGGCTTGCCACCTGGTGACTATGAATTGGATAAAAACATTTGTGCTCTCTCGAGTTTTGATGATGTGCTGATGGACTTTCCTCTCCTCTCAGGGCTTTGTGCCATCGTAGCATGCTCCTGGTTTGCTCACAATGTCATCCGAGCTTTCTATAATCCATACACTCCTGTCAACACCAAGTAAGTGAAACAAAAGCAAACTGGGTTTTCTACTTCTCTGATTAAAGGAACAGTTCTGGCATAGTAATGTTTTGTGAAGGTTGCCTATTCGCTTTCTTGCTGGGACATAAGATTGATAAAGTTATTAGGAAAAATAACTAAATACATATTCCACAGTTTCAGGGTATTTTAGTAAAGTCTAGTCTAGGAATCAATTAACATTCAACGAGTGATGTGATAAGATGAAAGACTTTTGATTTCTGGATTAGCTTATTTGTTTGTGCCACAGGCCACCGCTGTTGTTCAGAAATTATTAAAAACATCAGGGAAACACACCGCTGCACTGGGCGACGTGTTTTCTCATTTCAACACACCAGACCCTGATATTTGTTAAAGCTACAATAAGGATTCATTTGAAATCTGGCTAGTGCTTGCTTGAGACTCTAGATTCAATCTCCCCCAATCTGCCCAGCCCTCCGTCTCCCTGCTCACACCACCTGAAGGTTTGTGAATGCGAAGCTGTCACACAGCATCAAAATTTGTAGACGTTACTGGGAAGCGTTCAACCGGTGGGTGCCAAAATAATGTATCTCACCAAGCTGACTGCTCTGTTTCATGTCTGCTGTAAACACAGTACAACTGTATAGCAACTTCCACTACACCACAGGCAAACGAGACACATTTAGAGCAGCTCGGCTTGTCAACACTGGCAGAGAAATAACACAACTAGGCACACAACAAGTGCAGTGCTGTGTTTCCCTGAGGTGTTTATAATCAGTGGCACAGACACATAAGCTAATCCAGGACTGACAGACAGCGAGTAAAAGGGCAATTCAGTTTAAAATACTGTTAATACAGGAGATGGCTGACCTTCTCCACTTTAATGTAGCTAAATGTTTACTCTGTCACTGTTAACCCAAGCATTTCTTTGTGAATCGGTCCCAGGTTTGAGTTTGGTGCTGCCATCTTCATAGCCTGGGGCGGCTCCCTCCTAGATGTCCTTGGTGGGACCATGTTGGCTGCTTCCTGTCCTAGAAAAAAGCAGGTATCTAAATACCCACCAGCGGGCAGTTCACGCGCTGGCCCTTCGAGCGGCACTAAGGAATATGTCTGAGTGAACCCCCGACAGCCTGGGGTCTCCAACAGAACAGCTGATAAAGACGTCCACCCCCCTCCACCTGTTGCAGCACCAGTGAGGAGTAAAACCGAAGGTGTATGGGCAGCTCTGAATCATAGACAGAGGCAAGAACTGGGACTTTGACTTTTTGTTTGGGCAGGCCTTTGATAACTACTTGATTATCATCATGATCAGCTGTTTCACAAATGATGTCTCTCACCCCATCTACACATTCCAGTAATCTTCATAAATATTTTACAACTGAATCCTCTGAGTTAATAGACAAGCCCTTGGGGTGTAACTTCCTGAACTGTAGCCAAAATGGCTGATCATGGCCAACACTTGAACCTCCATGTTAGACCCAGCAACTATTAGTATTTGCCATGCAATTGAAAGTAATCAATAAAGTTCGGTATGCAGGCTGCGACTCAGGGGTTCTGAATGACAGAGACACAGGGTGACAATACAGTATTTCATATTAAATTAAATACTTAGTGGTTCTTAAATAGATGTTACCATGAGAAAAGTGTGATTTTGAACACTGTGGAGTGAGCGTACCACACAGGCCTTTTACTACGACACTGGCTACAGGTCCTGCAGCACTTCATACCAGTCTGTTATAAACCCTGCTCAGATACGAAATGTTTTACTATGTACACAGTCGCTGTGCCACTACGGCTCTGTTAGCTTCCATAGCAGCCCCAATGAGGTTAAGCTGCCTTTATTTATTTTGTTCAACAAAGGCTTTTGCTCCTGTGTAGATTTGCATAACTGCTAGATCACTGTGGCCCCTGTGTAGCTTTTCAGAGATTTTAATGTCATATTTTTATGCTCTGAACAGTACTGTTTTTGTTTACCTGTTCATTTGTTTTGTTTATATGAATGGCATAGTTGTATACACCCAGCTCCTCTAGCGGTAATTAAAAATGAAATGTTTTAACAGTATATTGATAAAGATACTGCAACACTGGCAACTGTGTGATGTCATAGTAATGGATTACACAGTAGTTTAAGTGTAAACCTGCAGTTACAGAAAAGAAAACTGAACTGAAAATAGAGCCATATAACTAAATATTATAGTTTTCCATTAGAAAATATGCTTTCCTTATTGTTAGTTCACTTGGATGTTTGAGCTTCACTGTGTAGAGGTATGTCTACAATTTGGTTGTTTTCATGTTCATCTGAAATGTGGTGTTTCTAATTAACATATTATAACAAAGTAATTACTTCACACAAGTGTGATGTTGAAACTTTAAGTTTCCAGTGCAAATACTAACATGTTGTGCCTCTGAAAGCTGTATGAAAAGACCAGTTAGCACAAGTGCATCAGAAGAATAGAGAAAAACCATAAAGTAGTGATGGTAAAATAGTTCACTGAACATAAAACACAGATTCCACAAAGATTCATCTTTTATTTCCCAAGATGCATTATGAAAAACTGACCATTTCCATGCAAATAGTAACCACAGCCCAAACACCAACCTTTAAGTCAGAGAATGAGCTGTGAAATGCAGTGATTCCATGACACAAAAAACTAAACTAGTAACAATTTCACAGCCAAATAAGTAGCATGACGTAAGCATGAGCCTTTACAGACAATATGTCATTTCACAGTCCACTGCAATCTTAAAAAAAATCCCCAAAACATCAGTGTTAAGATCATCTCAGCAGTGAACTCATACTATAATTGTGAAGTCTCATCTTTAAATATTCAACTTGTACCTGAAAGACACCAACTCCATCTGGGTGTCGTTCGCTGAGCAGATCACTGCTATGTCAATAAATAGTAATACAAAGTAAGAGCCGTCTATTACGACATGTCTGTGTGCCACTAAAGAGCAATCTCACATAGCATCAATTATCATTTGGCAATTTTTAAAAAATATATTCACAACTGTACACGTGTTTCATCACAGTTGTGTGGCCAACTGGAAATCCCTGCCTTTGAGAACAAACAAAACCTCCATACATCTGTTGCTGTTTATATTCTACTGCTGAATCTGCAGCTCGAGCCAACAGTGAGCTCAGATAAACACTGACTCTGCGAAATCTAAAGAGCAAAACATTGGCATGTGGTTGGAAACACTACTACATAGCCCTTAATAACAGGATACCAGTTACATGTTTTGATGCTTTAACAGACTCCATGCATAGAATTCTGTAACATGTCACTGCACATAACAGGCATTCCCACAAAGTGCACCATTTGGAAACATAATAAATCTCAGTTATAGCTGACTGAAGCAATACCCATTCAGAGTCAAGAAAAAAAACATGTAGAAGCCATAACACAACAACAAAGTGTCTTACTTTTTAAACAATAAATAATTTGCAGTAGTTGTTTTTCCATAAATAGCAAGCTTTCATCCACTGGATAAGAGTACACCATTTGCATCAGTGTGAGAGTAGAGAATGATAGTCACTGCATGACCAAAGCTTAACATTTTACCTGTCTGATACACATTAACAAGCTGTGTTCTGTCGCACAACCACGCTGCAGGCAATCAGTAACCCTCACCGGGAAACAGGCAAGTGAGAGGCTGCTTTCCATCTAAACCGTTTGCTCAGTGCAACTTTAGAAAAGTAGCCCTTGTTAAGAAGATCCGAAAAATACAGACACTTTTTCCAAATCTTTCTCAAGTCCAAAAAGTCTACTACCTACCGAGGTATAGAGTAGAGGGTGATCCAATACAATTTATTCACAGTCTGACCAAAGGTGAGTTAAATAAACACTATGTACAATCAGGGCCTGGGCTTCAGCTGGTGCTATACGAGCCGTTTTTGTGCCTTGCTGAATCATCAGAAGCTTAGGTAGGACACTTGACAGGATCAAGGCCAAGATCACTGACTTTTGGCATCCAGGGGGATTTTTTTTTTTGGCACTTGATGGTGAAGTTTAGGAGATGGGTGACAGGGAGACAGGACACTGCCTGTTATTGTTCATGATGTCATCCAAGTCTTCATCCTCCAGGTCCACTGAGAAGGAAAGGTCAGAGGTTAGAAATGTGCACCTCAAAGTGACAAATGCATTGAACAAACACCAGGACAGAAATAAAACTGGGCAAAAATGTGCTTATTTGTTTTCTTGCCAAGTTAGACTCACACCTCTCTCATGTTAATGCATTAAATATGAAGCTACTGCCAACAGCTGGCTAGCTTATCTTGGCATAAAGATGGGAAACAGCTAGCTGGGCTCTGTCCAAGGCCAACAAAACCCACCCATCAGCAACGCTGCCTCAGCATGTTGCATCTCTTTTGTTTAATCCTCAGAAAAAGTAAAGTTTGGGAGCATCACACACTGAGTTTTGATGGGTTTGACTTTGTTGTTGTATTCAATGCTCCTGACCAAGAAATAGTCCCAAATATAACCATATGGAAAACTGTTTTGCACTTTGGTGCAGGTTAAACAATCTGCTTGCTAAGCTAAGCTGCCCAAGAGACATGAAAGTGATATTGATCTTATTTAGGTCTTGGCAAGAAAAACATTTAATATATAGCCTTTCCCAAAATGTCTCATAAAAACTATTACTGTAAAATATTTTACAAACACCATTTCTGCCTTCAGGACAGGCAAACCATGGAGGAAAATACAAAATGTGTTATCACTACAGTGAGTAAGAGAAGTAGTATCATTTCAAGTGATCTAATCAACACTGCAGCAGGACAAACCATCTATATGCAACAAGAAATGCCATTATGAACATTCAGCAGTTCTTAAGGGGTCTGGGTATTCATGGTTTATTCCCTTCCAGATCAAGAGTTCATAATGTAAGCCCTCATCCTGTTACCCCTACATGAACATGCATTACTATAAGAACATTCTCTCTTTTAACTTCCTCTATTTATTTTCCAAACAACAACAATGACAAAAAAAACTAATTCCATTCCCTTTTTATCATAGCTGGCCCTCAGAGCTCAGTTTGGGAACCACTTGATGACAAAAAGCACATTACTGTCCAGTATTTATTACTTGTATTTATCAGGAATATCATGGTGAAAAAGACCAAATAAAGTTGCACACTAAATTAAACTTTTAAATTTGATACATTTAACCATTTTACTAGATGGTGCACATGGCAGGAGCTCAGCTCATGTATCGGCGATATGCAGGAATGGATTTCACTCTTATGACCGATTAATGAAGAAAAGAATGTTTTAGAATACAGCTTACTGTCATTTGCACAAGAACGGCACAATACAGGTATACTGGAATATTACTGAAAATGCATATTCTGAAAATAGGCTTCAAATGGAACAGAGAGCAGGTTCTGCCTCTGCCATTGTCATTATGATAGCACCAATTTGTTTATTTCCCAGAGCTCGTCTGTGCCTATTTTCTCCTCTTTTATGAAGTTACATGCAGGGTTTTATTTCACACATCATTCTAATATGTTGTTTATTCTACATGAAGGTTTTCACTATTTTTTTACATTCTCTAATAATCTTTCAGGGCTTTTATCTCTTATTTGTGTCCATTTTATATATTTTTTATTTTATTATTCTTTATTCCTATTGTAGTATATTGCTTGCTGTATTTGTGAGGTGTCCTTGAGCATCCTGAAAGTCGCCTTATATTAAAAATGTATTATGTTAGTGTCTATATGGGTGTAACGCTGCTCGTTGTACATTATGTAATTCTGAGTTGCCTTTAAGTGGTGTCAGTTTAAACTGTCACTAGGTATATTTGTGCAAGGAGTTCAGGAGTCTCTGCACCTGTCAATCAGACTAACTGCTTTTAAAAGCTCCAATCACTCACCTTTCTTGGACCGACCAATCTGTCCCAGTTTGGGTGCCCTCTGCCCGAGTATCTGAGGGCTGGGCCCGCCGCCGTGACCGTTGACCTGGGGGTCTCCCGGGTTGTACTGCCCTGCCAGGCCGGGTTGCCGGGGTGGCCCGTTGGGCGGGATGAGCTCTGGGATACCTGAAGCTCCGTACATCTTTAGAAGGCGCTTTCTCCTGATTGGCCGCTAGATGTCCGCAAAGCCAAAGGTTCGTGTCGTGTCGTGTCGAGAAGCTTCTCACTTCCGCAATGGCATTCAGCAACGAATGTATGAATAACAGACGACAAAATGTTGGAAATAACAGAGAGAAAGTCCTCGTAGCCTGCGAATGAAAGTAATCATGTTTGTTATAATGACTCCCATGCGTCACAGAGCGACGAGCTTTTGGAAAGTGCGCACAAACACTTGTCCTCTGTTTATACTGAAACAAACGACGTATTCTTAGGTGCTTTCCTTGTATTATTAGTAAAAGATGTAGTAAATGTCTTTCTGGCCATTACAATGGCTTAACAGTACAACATCGCACCTTCCGTTTGATCTACTCTATAACTGCTTTAATGCCCAGATATAAAATCAGTATTTGATGATTTTCGCTACAATCCTTTAAAATTACTGATACATAAACATATTACCTCACCTCTTCTTCACCAAGGCCGCAGTAAATAGCTGAATCTGTTAAAAACGGCTTCTGAGAACAGTGTTGTTGATTATCAGAGCTCTCTCTCTCTCTCTCTCCCCCTCTCTCCCGGCTCAATATCGAGGAAGCGTCGATTTAAAGGGGCCACTGGTAGTTCTCTCGGCCTTGGGGATTTCCTCGCATCGTGTCTTGACTCATAGCAGCATGTGAACGTCACTATGCGGTTGATATGAGCGACAGTGCTGACACTTGGGATTGTACAGTGGAGGTGTGCCAAAGTTTCGAGGGCGCACATGCGTAATTACGCATCTTTAGTAATGAGGGAGTGACTTAGGCGCTAGCCAATAGTAGACAGTGCTCAATAATCCCCATACATGCCACATGTAGTTCTATAGGTCAGAGGTAGTAGTTTAAGTCAAATCACTGTCCTGCAGCAATCTATTCCACATAGGAAAAACATAAATCAGATACAAGGTGAAGATTAAGATATATAATTAATTAAAATTAATGTTGAGGCGGTGTGTAACTTCGCTACAACAATGTTGGACTCCATAGTTTTCTCTGGACCCCTGCCCAGTCTAACCAGTGATGACATGTTTAACCACATGTCGCCAGTGAACCGCTGGTTGTCTAGGTGGTGCCTGGAAAACAATGTGGGCTTCATAAACAACTGGAAAACATTTTGGGGGAAACCTGGTCTGATTAGCAGAGACGACATCCATTCCACTTTGGGTGGTGCGGCTCTCTTATCTAGAAATCTGGAAAAGTTTATTTTGCAATATTAATTATGACAACCCAGAGTTGAGACCATGACACAGGGTCACAGTCTTACATGCCTCTCTGCAGCTGCTACCCACCCAAATCTCACGGTACCCCACAGAGACTGTCTCTGCCCCCCGCCCACCTAAATTATATAAATCAAAAATTACCTCAAGTAGTTATTCAGAAGAACTTAAGTGTCTTACTGGAATGTGGTTACAGCAGGAAGAACATGTCAGTCTAAATGAATCCAGTCCACCTGGTCACAGTAACTGTCACATCCCTCGAAGCACAGGTCGAGGTGGAGGTGTGGCAGTGATCTTTGACTCAAACCTGTTAATCAACCTTAGACCTAAATGTAGTTATAACTCATTTGAAAGTCTCTGAGTCTTACACCCAAACTGGAAAACTCAAAAGCCTGTTCTATTTCTTATTGTTTACCGTCCACCTGCTCCTTAT